TTAATTAAAAACTCAAGTATTTTCAATTTTTTTTTTATTACAAATTCAATTATTTTCAATTCTGTTAATTATAAATTGAAATACATATTTTCAATTATGTTAATTCTAAATTAAAGTCTTTTCAATTTTGTTAATTTATAAATTGATATATTTTCAATTCTGTTAATTAAAAAATACAAGAATTTTCCATTTTGTTAATTAAAAACTGAATTACTTTCAATTTTGCTAATTGCAAATTAAAATATTTTCAATTTTGTTAATTAAAAATTGAAATATTTTCGAATTTTTTAATTACAAATTGAAATATTTTCAATTTTGTTAATTATAAATTCATATATTTTCAATTCTGTTTTGTTAATTTTATTAATTATAATTTGAAGTATTTTCAATTTTATTCATTACAAGTCGTAGTATTTTCAATTTTTTTAACAATGATAGGAATATTTTTCAATTCTATTAATTATAAATAAAATTTTCAATTACATTATTTATAAATCAAATAATTAATAAAAAGCAGAATTTTAAATCTTTTTATAATATTTTTATGTTATTATACTCACTGGAAGAAATTTATTTTATTCAAATAAACGATTAATTGTGTAATTATCAAATAAATATTTACTTGAATCAAATAATTATATTTTATATTCAAATAAATTGTATTCAAATCAAATACCATTTAATCGACTAAAATAATAATTATTTGATAAAAACAAATATTTATTTCATAATTGACAAGTATTTATTCAAATAATTTTTTCAAGGAATATAAATATATATTTTTATAAATAAATAATATTAAATTGAACAATAAATAAATTTAATTGAATGCAACTAGAAAATAATGTAATAATTTCGAAAAATTTTTCTTTATTAAATGTTTGATTAATAATTAATGGATTTGAAAATTATTTAATTAATTAATAATTATATTCTTTCTTTTAGTGAATTTATTTTCAAACTTTGTTTAATTTTGAATAATTAATTAAAAATTAAGATAATTGAAAACACAGTAGGAAATAATTAAATAATAAAAATAGACGATGTACATCTCCTAATTTTTGGAGCATTAAAAATTAATATTATTTAAAAATTGAAAATAATTTAAAACAATTTAAAAAATAATGAGATACATAATAAAATTAAATAATTTTAAAAAATTGAATAATAAAATTAAATAATTGAAAAATGGAATAATAAATTTAAATAATTGAAAAAATTGCAAATAATAATGTTAAATAATGGAAAATGGTACAATAAAATTATATCATTGAAAAAATGGAATAATAAAGTTAAATAATTGAAAAAATGGAATAGTAATAATAAAATTTAATAATTTAAAAAATGGAATAATAAATTCAATAATTAAGAAAATTTGAATAATAACATTAAATAATTGAAAAAGTGGAATAATAAAATTAGTGAATTGAAAAAGTTGAATAATAAAATAAAATTTTAAAAATTGAAAAATAAAATAAAATTTAAAAAATTTATTAATAAAATTAAATTGAAAAATTCTAAGCATTAAAATAAAATAATTGAAAACACGAGAAGAAATTTAGTTTTTCTTTTGACGAATTTTTGAAAAGGGGGAGAGTATATATTATTTGAAGAGGCTAAAAATATTGAAAGTTAATATTTTCCGGATTTCCTTGAAAAATTTTAATCCATCGAGCAGATGACGAGGGGCACGTGCTTCGGAAAAGAACATTTTGGCAGCTTGTCTCTCTACTATATACTTTTACCGCCCGTTTTCCTTTTCATTAAGGACCGGTTTTTTCTCTCTCCCTCTCTCTCTCTCTTTTCCACCCTCGGGCCCCGTCAACTGACATCCCTCATTTTCCTCATTCAAAAAAGGAAAAAAGAAGAGTGGGGATCGACTTTCGGCTCTTCCCGCCAAAGAAAAACCTCTCTCAAGCCCCTAAAATCGAATGACGGTGGTGTGTCAGCCTAAACTAAAACCCAAAAATCCAACCAGTCGCTCCCACACTTTCTTTCGGTTTACATCGCGATCGATTTTCTTCTTCTCTGTGTTAGTGGTCTTTTTTATTTTTCTTCTTTGGAAAAGAAAATGAAATTTTTCTTCTTTTACAAAATTTTACGTGTACTTCTGCATTGGAGAATTTTTATCAGAAATTATTGTATCAAGTGATTTTTTGGACAATTTTCGTAAGTTTTCGTTTTGTGTGTTTTTTTGGGGGATTTTGGTATTTTTCTGTAAAGTATAATTTTTTTATAGTCATATTTTTTACATACTTACTTTTTTTATTTATTTTATAATGTTCATGATTTTTCCATCTCGATTTTTTTATACGATATTTTTTATTTTTCCTAAAATTTTTGCCACCAGGTTCTTTTATTTTCCGAGTGAAAAAGCGTTGAATATTTTTTCGATCTTCGAGCATTTTTTTGTATTGAACTTTTTTTTCTATTTAAAAACTTTTTTCATTATTGTTAACAAAATATATATATTTTTTAATTTTCCCGGAATTATTCGTGAAACTATTTATTTTTCAGTTTCTTTTTTTTTTTTTAAATTAACAGGTAAAGAGTTATTTACTCTCAATTTTCGAATATAATATTTTGAGAATATTTTTATTATAATTTTTATTAATATTTTTTATGTAAACAATATTTAGAAATTAATTTTTTGTCTAAAAATTTTTTATTTAATTCTTACAATGTCAAAATTCAATTTTCTTTATTTCTTTAATAGTTCTTTTTCTATTGGGAAATTTTCCAATTTTTTGTTAATTTCAATTTTCTGACTGATTTTTAAATAATATTTCTAATCCATTTGAAAAAATATTTTTTCTATTTTTAATTTAATTGAAAAGAGATTTTAATTTAATTCAATTCAAAGAAATTTTTATTTTCTTTTTACTTTCTTTGAGCGAATCTGGTTTTTAGTTGACTTGGAAAAAGTTATTTTCTATTCAAGTTTTTACGATTTTTAAAATTCCAACTGTCGCATTTTTTTCATTTGAATTTAAAAAAATCTTATTTATTTATAAACGAGAATTAATTTCAATTACATTTTTTTTTTAATTTTTTATTTCAAATTAATTCAATTAAAAAAAATTTATTTTAATTTAATTTTTAAATAAATTAATTTCAATTTAATATTAAAAAAATAAATTCCAATTTCATTTAAAAAAAAAAATTAATTTCAATTCAATTTAATTTTAATAACAAATTTTATATAAAATTGACAAAATTTTGTATTTTGAAGGAAATTTATTTTTGAAGGAAGAGAAAAATATTTGGAATATATTCTTCCAACTAGAATTTCGAATGTGAAATTTTCTTTTCGAAAGCGTTCAATATTTTTCCTAATGACTGGGATGCGAATACCTTTTCCTTTTTGGGGTTTAGAAATATTTTGGGTAAAAGGGAAAGGTGCGAGTTTTCCCCCCTCCCTCTAATCTGCGAGAAGAAGAAGAAGCCTAGCGGTGCTTCTTTTCAATGAAATTTTCGAAACCTTCCTTGGCACCCTCCGTCTTCAACTTCTTCATTTTCTTCATTTTCGTTGAGAAACACATCTCACTGCCAACAGGTTTCATTCCTTTTGAGAATAGAAAACCCATCCTCATAGATAATAGCCTCTCTTTTCCTTAGTTCCTGGAATGAAATAGATTAAAGAAAAAGAAAAAAAGGAACGCATGACGGCATGACTTAGTTTTATGAATTTTTTTTTTTATTTCTTCAAAGAATTCTGTCGGGAATCTTTCGAAAATATTCGACTTTCATATTATTTAACTTAATGAAATTGAACAATTAAATAATTATAAACATAATAATTAATTATTTATTTAAATTTTTTATTGTTTATTATTATTCATTATTATTTTTTTTTCTATAAGAAATAGTAAAAAATAAATATTTTTTATTTATATATAAAAAAAAATAGTAGAGAAAATAAAAATGTTTTTTTTTAATTTCTATAAAAAATATTAGAAGAACAATAAAAATATTTTTATTTTTTCCATTTTTGAAAACAAAACGACGAGAAGGATTTTTATTTTGCGAGCTCGCAAGTTTTCTTAACTTTTTCTTCGCGCGCGCGGTTGTTTTCCAATTTTTATTCTTTTTATCAATGCATATAACGGGAAAATTGCTGAGGAATTCGAAAAGTTTTCTTCTCCATCTGAGATCAATAGCATCTTGACGAAAGAAGTTCACTCATGTACATTCATGTGGAAATCTCGTATGGTCGCTTGATGGTTTTTGCGCTATATCGCAAAATAAAAATAATAATAAAGAAAAAATAAAGATGAGGTGTTCCTACACACTCAAAGTTCACTGAACAGACAAAATAATTCCTATATAAAACTTGCCTTCAGGCTACCACATAAAATATCATTTTTGAACTCAGAAAAAGGGGTTACATTTTATCTCGTGTGTAAATATTGTAAATAATTTCATTCCCCCCTCCCCCTTAAAAAATCGATTGAATTTTCCATTTCAGTGAAAGTGATTTTATTATTTTCATTGCTGCAGAGAAATTCCCTCGTAGATCCAAATATTTTCGGGTAAAGAAAATTCGAATTTGTTTTAATTAATAAATTTTTAGTTAATAAAATTATTATTTTCATTTTTGTTCATAATTTTTTTTCTATTTTCTATTAATTATTAATTAATAACAAATTTAAAAAAACCCATTTTATGAATAAAATTGTTTTTTTTCAAACGATCGTATTTTGAAATGGAACATTTTTTTGCAAAAGTAGAAAATACAAAAAAAAAAATGAATATTCTAATTTGAAATCCTAACGATTTTTTTCCCTTCGGTGTAAAAATAATATTTTATTAGTCAATTATTGGCAGAGGGGGGACGGGAATTCTGTCACCGATGCAGCTAATGGTTTTCAAACGAGAGACGAAAAAAAAAATAGAAAATAAATGCTGCATTGGAATTTTTCTTTTTTTTTTTTTTTTGAAATTATAGTTTTGAGTTTGAAAAAGAAATGAAATTAAACAACTTCCGTTTTTATTTTCAGAACCATCAATTAGGTTGGACTTAGTTGAACAGCTTCCACATGTGGCGATAATATGCCATGAAACGCCCCACCTTTTTGGGGACGCATTATCCTGCTACATCATTGAGATCATTCTCAAATATCTCCGTGACACGGATAATCAGGTATAATCCATTTAATCATTATATTTATATGCATAGAGGAAAATTATATTTTTATTTCTAACTTTTAATTTAATTTAATAGTAAAATCATTTTTCTTTTCACTTTTTCATATTTGAAAAGAGAAAAAAACGGAAAAATGGGTAAAATTAGAAATTAAAAGTATTCAATGAATAAAGGAAAAAATATTTAAAGTATGGGAGAAAAAATTATAAATATTTAAACTATGAAAGAAAAAATTAAAAATATTCAGAGCATAAGCGGGAAACCTTAAAATATTCAAAGTATAAACGAAAAAGTTAAAAATAAATAGAAATAAAAATAGAGAAGTGTAAAATAGAAAAGTAAAAATATTTAAAATGTAAAAGAAAAATTATAAATATTCAAATTATAAAAGAAAAAATTAAAAATATTCAAAATATAAAAGAAAAAAATTCTAATTCTAATTCATAGAAAAAGTGAAAAATATTCAAAGTTTAAAATAAAATATTAGAAATATTCAAAGAATAAAGAAAGGAAAATTCAAAAATATTTAGAGTATAAAATTGAAATTTTAAATTGTAAATATTTATTTATAGTTAATATAAATGTAAAAATTGAAACTCTCAGTTGGATTTGAAATTAATGACAGAAAATTTTTTCCAGGTGCGACAAATGGCGCAAACAGCCCTAATTGCCATCGTTGAGCGTGGAATTTTAACGAAAAAACAACTCGAGGTCGAAGTCTGTCCTGTGATTCTCAATATGACCTATTTGCAAATTGAGTTTCTCAACACGGCTATTGTTGTAAGTTGACATTTTTTTATTAGAGATAAAAAAAACATTGTTTTTTTTTGTTCATTTTTATTGAAACTTCGCCAAATCTTTGTGAGGAAAGTGAATTTTTCGACTAGAGAGTAAAAACTTTTTTTGATTATTTTGTTATAGAGAGTAACTAAAAATAAAAAAATAAAATTAATTTCTTGAGTGAAATAACTTTTTCTACCTTAAATAAAAATAATCTTCTTACTCTTATTTTTTTTTGTTAAACAACACAAAGTTATCTACTTGAAAAAAATTCACTTTCCGCCTTTTTGGCAAATAAAGAATTGATTCTTTTTTCCATCGATGTACATTGTGTCTCTAATAGAAAATACCTGTTTCGTTATACGATAAAAATCTGTAATTATCTTGTCTAGAGGGCAAAAGTTGATTTTGAAAAATGTTAAAGAAGTGTTTTCAGCAACTGAAGAAATCGAAGAAAAAGAAGAAGAAGAAGAGGATCAGGAACAGGAACAAAAAAACAAGATCGATAGCGGATTCTGAATGAAAGACATGGGTAGTGAGATGTTCATTTAGCGTTCGCGTCTCACTACCTTGTCTTTCATGCAGCGTTCGTCTTCCCTTCAACTTGATTCATCTGAAGATAAAGACGTACTTAGCCAGAAAAAAAACTTATTTGAACCAAGATACGAGAAAAAAATTTGAACCAAAAAAGAAGAAAAGAGATAAAAATTACATAAATCGTAATGAAAAAAGACAAAAACAAAAAATAAACTTTCACGAGAAAAGACAAAAAGAATCATCAGAAAAATTGAAAAATTAAAGTAATTTTTATGAAAAAAAAGATTGGAACAGAATTTTTACTAAAAAAGAAATTTTCACGAATTGGAACAAAGTGTGGGCATGCTTTTACCATCAAAGTTGGTTTGTCATAGAGATTACCTATCACAGCCAGCTTTGATGAGCAAAATTGTGTTCAATTTCAGCGAAATTGTGTAAATGCTTAAAAAAAGGACTTGAGAGAATTGAAAAAATATATTATCAAGCTGATGATAGAAAGTGAAAATTGAGCGATGGGAGAAAGAAAAAGAAGAAAAAGAGAGGAGCACAAAAAGTACTTTTGCGGTCCAAAACATCAAATTGGTTGTGGAATGTTTTAAGTCATATCACAGCCACTTTGATGAGCTTGGCCCGTAGAATTTATCGACTCGGAATATTTCAACATCTTGGGAAACTCTTTTTGAATAAGTAATTTTTTTTCTCTAAATGAAATTTGAAAAATGGAAAATATTCTCATTTTCTAATAATTTTTTTTATGTTAAAAAGAAGATATTTTTTGTTTTAATTTTCCCAAGAAAATTATTCACGAAACAATTGTCAATCACCAACAAATCATAAATAACAATATTATTTGTTACTTTTTAAATTTTTGTTTTGTTATAAAATATTCTTGTTCTTTTCGTTATTATTTTGTAAATATATTTTTTTCGGTTATTATTTTGCAAAAATAGTTTTCCTTTTATTGTAATTTTTTTTACTTTTATTTCGTAAAGATGTATTTTTTCCAATATTACTTTTTTACTATTTTTCTATTGTTATTTAGTAAAGATATTAATTATTGTGTTTATTATTATTTTGCAAATATATTTTTCTTTCGATTTATATTTTCAGGCCTCGGATATTTTCGACTTTTTTCGACTTTTTTCCGAATATTGCAATAATTTTTAGTATAAAATGCAAATAATTTTCGAAATTTACAATTGAAAAAAGTTTCAATAAATATTAAAATTTTGTAAAATTTAATTGAAAATAATTGATTTTTTTAAAAGTGTTTTATACAAATTTTTAAAAACAACTTTTGAAGAATATTAATTGCAAATTTTGAAAATAATTGAAATTGAATTCCTCGGAAGAATTTAATTTGTAAAAAAAATTTTAATATATTTCGAATAGATTCAATTATTTTCTAAAATCTTAATAAATCCTTCGAAACAATTCAATTATTTTTATAAATAGCAAAATTCTTCGCAAGAATTCAATTATTTTTATAAATAGTAAAATTCTTTGCAGGAATTCAATTATTTTCAAATATTTCTGTAACATTCAATTATTTTCTAAAATTTTTAATAATTTCTTCGCAACAATTCAACTATTTTTATAAATTACTAAATAAATTTTCAAAATTTACAATAAAAAAAGAGTTTCAATAATTGAAATTTTGTAAAATTTAATTGAAAATAATTGATTTTTTTCAAAGCGTTTGATAAAAAATTTTGAAAATAAACTTTAAAAGAATTTTAATTGCTAATTTTGAAAATAATTGATTTCTCAAAAATTTTAATGTAATATGAACTTCAAGTGTAAATTTAAAAATAGTAATTAATGAAAATTAGCTACAAAAAAATTATAGAAAAATATTTTTGATAAAAATAATTCTTAGAATTTTTGCATTCTAATTTTTTAAAATTCAATTATTTTCAATATTTTTAAATACAAATTTTCAAAAATTTAAATACATACAAAAAATAATAACATTAAAATTTTTTACAATTTTTTTTAACATTTTAACAACATATGACTTTTTTAGATTTATCAAAATTTTGGAGAAATCGCGTTTATATTAATAATTAAAATTCTTTAAAAATTCAATTATTTTTTTAATAGAATTTACCAAATTTCAATTATTTGGAAATTTTTCAATTCTATATAATTGAAAAACTATTATCTTTCATAAATTATTTTAAAAATATTTTTGAAAAATTAATTTTAAGAATTTCTTTATTATAATTTTTTGAAAATTAATTAATAACTTAAAAAACATGGGACAGTTAGAATCATTATAAAGAACTGAATTTTTGTATTTAAATAATAAATCTGTTTATATTGTGGTCCTTTGGACCCAAGGTCACAATATAAACAGATTTATTTGACAAAAATTAAGGTCCTGAAAACATTCTAAATTGTATTTAAATAATTGAATTCTTTAAGAACTTTCGGAAAATTATTAAAAATAATTGATTTCGAGAAGAAGTTTGATTAAAAATTGTAGAAAATAATTGAATTTTAAGAGAATTAAAGTTGTAATTTTTAGAAGTTATTAAATTTCAGAAGGTTTTAAATAGAAATTTTTTAAATTTTATTCCCGTATAAAAACAAACAATAAGTATTTAAATATTTATTTAACGAAATTATTCAAGTTTTAAATAATTAAATTTAGAAATCAGTGATAAAAAATAAAATTTTTATGACGATACTGAATTAAATAAACGATTTTTTCGACTTTTTTCTATTTTAAATCGACTAAAGCAACTTTTTTTTGCACCTTAAAGTCGATCCGAGGCCTGTATTTTGTAAAAGTATTTTTCTCTCCATTATTATTTTCTATTAATATTTTTCTATTATTTTATTATTTGGTAAATGTATTTTTCTTTTTCATCTGAAGAATATTTTTCTTTTTTATTAATCAAGATGGCTACTTGAGCCCTCTCGCCTCGCATTTGTTTGATCCTCTTTTTTTCCAGGTAGATTTCCAAGAGGAGATTTTTGACTTCGGGGAAATAATTATTAAACGTTGATCCAATCGTCAAATTGGTTGTGGCGTGTTGCTTTCTGACATTCATATCACAGCCATTTTTGACGAGTTGGATTACGTTTTTCATCGTCAACTTTTTTTTGCCTCAAGAAGGAAAACGCCGCGCAGCGCACGAGAAACATTTCTTTCAATGTTTGCATCGCTCACAAAGTGGCTGTTGTATGTTGATATTTTAAATTCATATCACAGCCAGCTTTGATGAGCGTTGCGGCACTTGATTCTTCATCGTTCATAATAATGCCGAAAATAATAATTAATACAATTAATAATTTTGCTTTTTGAACTTGAGCTCTTTGATAATTTCGAAAACACCTTTCGATTCAAAAAAAGAAAGAAAAAGAATGAATGAGGTTCCACCGCACAATTGTTTTGCAGGGAAAAATCTTTTCCTGGACTGTAGATAGGTATTATAAGAGTGTGTACGGAACACGGCACTTGGACTGTACAAAGGCGAGATCGATTGTTCCACCCGTCAGAGTGGTTGTGATGTGGTACCTCGACTCATATCACAGCCAGCTTTGATGAGCGGAACGGTACGATAAAAATCTTCTGCATGTGCAGTACTTTTTTCCTCAATTTTCCTCTTCATTACTTCCTGTCCCTTTTTACATTCTCTTAAAAATATCTATAGATATATATATATGCGCGCGTCAATCTTGAGAAGACGAAATGTATTTTAAGAATTTTCTTCCTTCTTTATTAACTTGCAATTTTTTTCTCTTTTAGTAAAACTGAAAATCAATTTCGTTTACCTAATTGTGAATTTTTTTTCTCTTTAACAGCTCATGAGTAAATTGGGACCATATCTAGGAAGTGAAGTGTTGGAGACTATTTTGCTGGACAGATATTTGGAACTCTGTGAGGACGAGAGATTTTTCGTGAGGAAAGTTTGTGCCTCATATTTAGGAGAGATTTGTGCGAACATCTCGAAAAGTATAGTCTATGAAAAATTGGTACGTTCAATGGTTTTAATTATTTCATAAAAATAACTAATAATAAGGAAAAATAACTAATTATAAAAAAAATAAATAATAATAAAATAATAATTAATAACAAATAATAATAATAAATGCAAAAAATTAGTAATTAAAACATTAAAAAAACTATTACTTCATTTACTGAAGTAAATGATTTTTTTTTCAAAAAGCTATTAAAAATAAATTGACAATAAATTAATGGATTTTTTTTCTTCTATTTCCAGCTGCCGAAATATATAAATTTGTGTATAGATGATGTGTGGGGCGTAAGAAAAGCATGCGTCGATGTGATGCTGTCAGTTGCTTCCTGCGTTACGATTTACAAATATCGAATGATACTCTCAAAATTATTGATGGATCAATTATCGGACGAATCAAAATGGGTGCGAACATCAGCTCATCAAATTCTCGGTCCTTTCATTTCAATTTTCGCCACACAATTCAGTGGCTTAAGATACAATCAATTTGGAGATTTTGTCATGTCCCATAATCAAGGTTCCGAACTCAGGCAAAATATGTAATTATCTTTATTTCATTAAGAAGAAGAAAAATTAATTTAAAAAATATCTTCATTTGAAAAAAGTATTTGTAATTAAGAAGAAAATATCCCGTTGATTGGATAAATAAATTGATTTTTTTTTCTCTTACACAGAATACCGTCAACGAAAAACGAATCAGTCGTTGGACCAAACGATAATTTTGCAACTCCACTTGAACAGGAAATTGGAATTATTGGAATTGATACCTACACGTCTAATAAGCGAAATAAACGAAATCAATCTGTGTCCAAAAATGATATGATGTTCTTCCCACTTACTGGATGGCTAGGCGAAATTGTAGAGGTAAATATTCTTCGGCTTCCTCTATTTTTCTTGCAACCATCGAATTTATATTTTTAAGTCTCGGATCGACTTTAAGACGCAATAGAAAATTATTAATTGTTTTCGTAGATTCAGAATTTTTATGAAAATTTGACTGACTATTCTCTCAGTTTCAGAAAATTTGTTTACTTTTTCCTTCTGAAAATTCTAAAATTTATTATTTCTTCAAAAATTGCTACTAAACTTCTTTAAAAGTCAATTATTTTCTAGAATTTATAATTTAAATTCTTTTATAAATCAATTTTTTTTAATAATTTTGAGAAATTTCTTTAAGAATTTAATTATACCAAAAAAAGATTCACTTCAGAAAAATACAAAAAATACGTCTAAAATTTGTTTTAAATTTAATTTCACGAAATTTTTATTATTCGAAACTTTTCATTTAAATTATTGCCCAAAAATAACAAAATATTACTAAGAAATATCTAATTTAAAAAAAACTTTGAATTAATATTTTTCGTAGAACTAAGTTTACAATACTGTTAATTAAAATTATTTAAAATTTAAACGTTCGAAAATTTCCATTAGAAACTTTTTGAAATTTAATTCTAAAAATTTCTACTAATAAATTTTCCAAAATTAAATTATTTTTGGGAATTCTTAATCCAAATTCTTTTCTAAATCGATTGTTTTTCAATTAAATAATTTTTTTAAAATAATTTTTAGAAAATTCTTTGAAAATTTAATATTAAAAAAAAAAGATTCACTAAAAATTATTAAAAAAAAGAATTACCTATTGAATTTTTGTCAAATTTAATTGAAAATAATTGATTTTTTAAAAGTGTATTATAAAAATTTTTAAAAATCAACTTTTGAAGAATTTTAATTGCAAATTTGATAAATAATTGAAATTAAATTCCTCGGAAGAATTTAATCTTTAAAAAAATTTTTAATGTATTTCGAATAAATTCAATTATTTTCTAAAATCTTAATAAATCCTTCGAAACAATTCAATTATTTTTATAAATGGCAAAATTATTCGCAAGAATTCAATTATTTTTATAATTTGTAAAATTCTTTGCAGGAATTCAATTATTTTCAAAACATCTTTAATTGAATTTCTCGGAAGAATTCAAATATTTTCAAATATTTTTATAAAATTCAATTATTTCCTAAAATTTTAAAAATTTCTTCGAAATAATTTAACTATTTTTATAAATATTAAATACTAAATAATTTTTTAAAATTTACAATAAAAAAAGAGTTTCAATAATTGAAATTTTGTAAAATTTAATTGAAAATAATTGATTTTTTTCAAAGGGTTTGATAAAAATTTTTGAAAATAATTGATTTCTCAAAAATTTGGAAATTTTTCAATTCTATATAATTAAAAAACTATTATCTTTTATAAATTATTTTAAAAATATTTTTGAAAAATTAATTTTAAGAATTTCTTTATTATAATTTTTTGAAAATTAATAAATAACTTAAAAAACATAGAGAGTTAGAATCATTATAAAGAACTGAATTTATTTATATTTAAATAATAAATCTGTTTATATTGTGGTCCTTTGGACCCAAGGTCACAATATAAACAGATTTATTTAACAAAAATTAAGGTCCTGGAAACATTTTAAGTTGTATTTAAATAATTGAATTCTCTAAGAACTTTCGGAAAATTATTAAAAATAATTGATTTCGAGAAGAAGTTTGATTAAAAATTGTAGAAAATAATTGAATTTGAAGAGAATTAAAGTTGTAATTTTTAGAAGTTATTAAATTTCAGAAGGTTTTAAATAGAAATTTTTTAAATTTCATTCCCGTATAAAAACAAACAAAAAGTATTTAAATATTTATTTAACGAAATTATTCAAGTTTTAAATAATTAAATTTAGAAATCAGTAAAAGATCAGAAGAATAAAAAATAAAATTTTTGTGACGGCACTGAATTAAATAAACGACTTTTTCGACTTTTTTTCTATTTTAAATCGACTAAAGCGACTTTTTTTTGCACCTTAAAGTCGATCCGAGGCCTGAATGTTTAATTTTCAGAACTTTTAATTAAAATTTTTCTCTAAATTAATTATTTTGTATAATTTTCAGAAAATTTTTCGAGAATTCACTTGTTGAAACACAAAAATTTCATTTTTTATAAAAATTTCAACTCTTTTGATTCTTTTCACATTTTAAGCTTTTAAAGTGAAAAATTTAATTCAAGGGCAATGTTCACCGAAAAATAAAATTTTTGCAAAACAATTTAAGACACTTTAGAAAAAAAAATGTACTATGGTTATTTTTTATATTTTGTAAATGAAAATATGTAGCATTTTCTACTTAAAAAAGTACTAGTTTGTTGCAATCTGTAAAAAAAAAGTCTTATACGAAAAATTCTATTTGTTTCCAGAGCGAAGAACAAAACGACAGTTCAGGCGAGTCATCAGGAGATGACGTAAATAAATTCAATCCTTTCCAGTATTACTACAATCCACCGGAAATGCCATTAGATCTGGAATTGGTCCGCCCGAGTGATAAATCATCACAATCGGAAGATATACGAAAAATGTTTGACGACTATTATGATTTGGAGTATGAAAATCAAATTTCGGATATACAACCACCAGTGGATGATTCGGCAGTGTCGCCGTCGTCACAGCAACAAGAAGAACCACAATTGGACAAGGAAAATTTAAATAAACCTAGCGAAATTTCTATCGAAACATCATCATCATCATCATCGAGTCCAGAGAGCAATAATTTAAATTCTGATTCTGAAAATACTGATAAAACTGTAGATAATTCAAGTACAATAGTCGATCAAGAAACGGAAAAATCAAATGAAGAATCATCAACAAATTCCGAAAATATCGATGATAATTCAACTCAAACAATAACGAGAGTAATAAAAAAAGATTATCCAGCAGCGTCGTCAATGGAAAATAATACTCTTCCATCATTATTAAAAGGGACAAAAGCGAAAGACGAAAAAACAGACGAAAGTGTACCTCAATTTTTAATAGCTCGTTTTATATCGATGGCCGATCCAGCGCCATTATTTGATTATGGAACCGAACTTCACCATCAATGTGCCTTCTATTTTCCCGCCGTTGTCATGACACTTGGCAGGAAAAATTGGTTTCAATTGAAGAACGCCTATCAAGCATTGGCATGCGCTGTACAATGGAAAGTGAGATGTACACTTGCATCGAGTATACATGAGATTGCATTAATATTAGGCGAGGAACTCACCAGCACTGATCTCATGCCAATTTACGATGGTTTCATTAAGGATCTCGACGAAGTGAGAATTGGCGCGCTAAAACATCTTAGTACATTTTTAGAGGTTCTCAGGCCAGTTAATCGGCAGAAATATTTATCAAAATTGTCTGATTTCATTGTTCCTGACAATGAAAATAATTGGAGATTTCGCGAGGAATTTGCCAATCAATTATTACAAGCTATTTTACTTTATCAACCGCAAGATATTTCGGAACATATCGCACCATTGGCGTTGCAATTGCTGCAAGACAAGGTGGCTGCTGTGAGGCAAATTGCTCTTCAGTTGGTGAGTTTTCTTTTTGTTCCTTTTCTTAATTAATAAATATCAAAACTTGAAGTAGATTATTTATTATTTCGGGTGAAATACTCAAAAATATTTTTTCTACTTTACAGTAAAAGTAATTTTTATTTTTACTATTAATTAATATTCATTATTTATTTATTAAGTTAATAATTAAATAAATTAAATACTAATTAATAATTATAATAATACTGGTGAAATTTCCATTTATGTTAAGTTTTATTTAACAGAATTTTCAAAAAATTGTTAGTAAAAAAATGTCTGTATTTTCATTATGAGTATTAATGATGGTACTTTTCAATCGAATGTATATTTAATTGACAAATATTTTAGTTTAAAGTAATTAAGCCGCAGTTTTATAAATCAGAATTAAAAAAAGTTTTTTTTCACTAAATTTTAATATAGAGGAATTTTTTTTTCCAAAAATTCAATTATTTTCAAAAGTAATAAAATTTTTCGCAGAAATTCAATTATATTCAAAAATTTTTTAAAATTCTGGTCATTTCAATTATATCTTTAAAAATAATAAAATTCTTCTCCAAAATTCAATTATATTCAAAAATTCAAAGAAATTCTCGTCAAAATTTTAATTATTGTTATAATTAATAAAATTCTTTTTCAAAATTCAATTTTTTTTAAAAACTTTAATAAATTTCTTCGCAAAATTTCCAGGCGCGGATTCAGAAGCAAATTTTGGGGGGGGGGCGATCGCCCCATTCGCCCCACCGTGGATCCGCGCCTGAAAATTTCACAGGAATTCAATAATTTACAAGATTTTTAATTCATTTCTTCGATTCTTCGAAATAAATCAATTATTTTCATAAATAATAAAATTTTCACAGGAATTCAATTATTTAATATAAAAAATTTCAAAATTTTTTTCGAAAAATATCAATTATTTAAAAAGAATTTAATGAAATTCGTCGCAGGAATTCAATTATTTAAAAAAAATTTAACAAAGTTCTTTCAAAGAATTCAATTATTTTTAGAAATACACTGTAAAAAAAGTTGGTGTAAAATAACACGAAACTTGTAATTTCACACATCAAAATTATAGGTTGTACGTAGTAAATTTATTTCGTTCCAAAAGTAGTTTTACTATTCACAGTATTTTTACATAATATGACTATGTAATTTAACAAGTTTGTGTAAATTTACGTTGTCCAACATTGGAAAGTTTGGTCACTATGTCCCACATGTATTTTTACATTGCGTGTATTTCTACACTTTGACGTAATATTACGTCGCACGAACTGTACAATTACATGGCGAATGTAATTTTCTTATTCCTTTAAAATTTTCAAAAAAATTTCAAGTTTTTATAAATAACTCTAAAAAAGTGTACATAATGTACATTTATAGAAAGTATATGCTAATTTATAAGTAAATAATAATATTACAAAAAGTTTTGGGCTATATTTCATAAATACAAAAAGTTACGACTGAAAATATTATTTCAAAAATATTTGCAGGTTATGTAGATTACAGTCGGCGTGTAAAAATACCACGTCGGACATAGTGACCAAACTTTCCAACGTCGGACATAGTAAATTTACACTAGATTTTTTTACAGTGTAGTAAAATTCTTCACCGAAATTCAATTATTTTTATAAACTTAAATAAAATTCGTTGAAAGAATTAAATTATTTTCAAAAGGAATAAAATTTATCGCAAAAATTCATTTATGTTCAAAAATTAAAAAAAAAATTCTTGTCAAAATTTCAATTATCTTTATAAATAATAATTAATAAAATTCTTTAATATTCAGTTATTTTAAAAAAAAAATTTTAATTCTCGTCAAAATTTCAATTATTGTTATAATTAATAAAATTCTTCTTCAAAATTCAATTATTTTTAAAAACTTGAATAAAATTCTTGTTAAAATTTCACAGGAATTCAATAATTTATAAAATTTTTAATAAATTTCTTCGAAATAATTTAATTATTTTCATAAGTAATAAAATTTTCAAATGAGTTCAATTATTTAATATACAAAATTTCATATAAAGTTTTTCGAAAAATATCAATTATTTAAAAAGATTTTTATAAAATTCGTCGCATGAATTTAATTATTTAAAAAAAAATTTAACAAAGTTCTTTTCAAGAATTCAATTATTTTTATAAATAATACAATTCTTCACCGAAATTCAATTATTTTAGAAAAATTTTAATAACATTTTTGGCAAAATTTTAAATTATTTTCATAAATAATAAAACTTATCGCAGGATTTTAATTAATTTTTGATACAATATTTCAATCAAATTCCTCGATAAATGTAATTATTCTTTAAAATTTCATTAAAATTTGTTAATAAAATTCTTTATGAGAATTCAATTTTAACAAACATTCAATTATTCAATAAACTATTTATTTTTTAATTTAAATAATTGAATTCTTATAGAATTTTCTAATAAAAATTGATTAAAACTGAATTACCGAATAATCGATTTATTATTTATGAAAATAATTTAATTATTGCAACGAATTTTATTACAATTTTTTCAAATAATTGAATTTTATTTAGAAAATTTACTACTTTTTAAAAATAATTGAATTCTTGCGAAGGATTTTATTAGGATTTTTGTAAATAATAAAATTTTTTTTGAAAAATTTCATGGTAATTTAAATTATAACAAAACATGAAGAAGAAAACTCGGAGTGATCGCCTTCTTTATGTTTTGTAATAATATTCTTATAAATTGTTGAATTTCAAAAAGGTCTGAATTTGAATGTATTGAAGAATTTTAATTCCTACGGAAAAATAATAATGATTAAATATTTATTTGAAAAAGAAATTATTGATGTTTTTGAATAATTTTACAGTTAATGAAATTTGTAAATAAATGTAATAGAACATTTTTTTGAGTTTCTAATAATTTTTAGAGTGAATCAGAATATTTTTTAGGGTCAGGGAAAAAGTGAGAATTTTGTCTGGAAATCAGGGAAAAGTCAGGGAAAAATAAAATTAAATATTTGTGCAACCCTGTAATAATTCCAACTAAAAGTTTCTAAATAAATAAATGTTTTAACTACACCTTCTAAATAAATACAGATTTTAAATAAAATTTATAAACTAAAACCTCATTTTAATTTATTAGCATATTTAATTAAATTTCTATTAATTCAGTTCAATTTTTAAAACGTAAATTTGTTAAAAATTCCTAAAAATTAATCAAATTAAAAATTCTGTTAAATAAAACTTTTTATAATAAATTATTATATTTATAAATAAATATTTCTGATAAATAATTTAAATTTTTACAATTTTTTTTTTTGTTGACAAAATTAAAAAGAAATCAAATAATTTCTCCTCTTATTCAAATTTTAAATATTTTTGAACTAAAGTTTGTACGTAAATACAAATTATAACTAAAACGTTTAAATAAATAAAAATTGTTACTAAAACTTTTAATTAAATAAAAATTGCAACTAAAAAAGTTTTTAAATAAATAAAAATTTTAAACAACTGTTATAAACTAAAACTTAATTTTCATTTATTAGCATTTTTAACAAATTTCTATTCAGTTCAATTTTTCAATCGTAAAATTCTTTTAAAAATTCTGTTAAAAGAAAATTTTTTGTAATAAAATATTTTATTATTTTTATTATATTAAGTAAATGTTGGAGATTTTATTTTTCACTAAAAAACGTTTGTCACTAAAATTTAATTTTTTGTTTGTGATTGCAGATAACGCAAATTACAAGGTTCCTGGGGAGTGAAGAGCCTTTGGTGATAGCTTTGATACAGGAGCTCAATCATCAATTACTATTAGATCATCCATTAATATTCAGAAGTAAATGGAAATGTAGACAGACTTATGCTCTTATTTGTTCGCAACTCATTAGTACAGAATCAATTAACTTATTAATTTTCGTCAATGAAATGCTCCCTCATCTTTTCATTTTGTGTGAAGACAAGGTACCAAATGTTCGTTTGGTTGTAGCTAGGACTTTAACAAATGACATCTTGCCCTTGAATAGTGAGTACAATTTTCATTATAATTATTATATATAAAAATGTAAATTTATTTTTTTATTTTAATAATTCTCCGACTATATTAAAACAAATATTTTTTCATACTTAATATTTTAATAAAACTAACAATATTTTAAAAATATTTTAATATTTCGGTTCGATTGCAGTTGATAGGTTCAATATCGAGAGGACGTGGCAGGCTATCCTTAAATTAAAGCAGGATACAGATCGCGATGTTCGAGTTTTAGCGGGGGCTAGTGATCCGAAGGAATCAAACGACCAGAGTCTTAACCATACATTTCTTTTAGACGCTTTCTAACATAAATTCAACTCGTCTCCACAGCGGACCATTTTCCGTCAAGGATACACGAATTAAAAAAAATATCTCTCACTAGGAAGAAAAAAGAAACCCTTTAAAACAATGCATTCGTAACGGTGCTTTTCTTTTGTACACTTAAAAAAAAAATTTCACTTAAAAAAAAAGATTAACAAAGCGTGAATTGAATAAAAATAGTGACGAACATTTTTTTAGAAAAATCAATTTTTTACGGCTCTCAAAAAGTAGCCATTTTTTTGTCAATAATCCGCTGATTGGCAAAAGACAGTGTGAATGTTAGAATTTGTTTTTTGTTTTTATCTTTTATTCGAAAGGCAATAGAATTTTTAATTTTAACTCATCAGTTGCGTTAAAATAATATTGTTAATGTCTTACAAAAACTCAATGAGTAAACATCGAGGTAAAAAAGAAACCAGTTTTTAAAATGAAACTTTCCGTTAAGTAAAAAACTAAGTATTAAATGGAATTTTTGCGGTTCGTGTCTTTTTTTTTAATGAAAAATAAATTTATAATTCAGCATCATATCAAAAATATTCTACCGAAGCTTAAAAAAATATACATAATAAAAAAGAAATTTTCCAGTTTTTAAAAAAAGTACGTCCAAGGTTTTTTGTCCAAAAAAATTTCCTTTTTATAAGTAAATGTGAGCGTCAATTGCTGCCGACTTTTTTTTTAGCGCTTTGCGTCCAGAAAATAATTGCATTTTTTTAGCACACTCTAGTTATATAAAAAATCGTGTACAATACAATTTTTAAGGAAGAAAAAAAAATGTCAAAAAACTTTTACAAAACAAAAAAATGAATAAAATAATTAACTGAAAGTAGATATTGCCTATGCAAATTTCCCGATTCTTTTCTGTCGTTTTTGTAAAAGGAAAAGTTTTTTTGTAATAAACAATTTAACACCAATTATTTGTAATAATAAAAAGGAAAAAAAAACTCTTCGGTCACGATATTTGAAAAGAAAAGGTTGTTTATTTTTATTTATAATCGTGATATTATCTTTATTATTAACGTGATTATTATAATTGTCGATCTGGATGCAAAAAAAAGGGAAAAGCCGATTCTGACATATTTTTTTCCTCTTCCTCCATATTTCGTTTTCCACTCTCGAGAGAGAATAATGCTCGATTTACTGTGAATATTTGCGCATTTGGAAGGGAGGTATCGTTTAATGTGTACAATAATATTTTATGTATTTGGTAAATAAGACGACAAATAAATTTCAAGCAATTTGTTACATATTTTGTTTTTTCTTTTCATTTTAATTTCGTGTAAATTTATTATTTTGTATTTGTGTATTTCAAATAATGAATTTATATATCTTTTTCAAATAATTTTACGTTTATTTCAAAAAATTTCAAGTATAATTTTATATTTATTTCAATTTTTAAATAATAAATTTATATTTATTGTCAAGGGCACGAAAAATTTTAATTTCTAAACTTTTGAAAAGTTAATCGTTAATTTTATTGGGTGATAAATAATTTTTTTTTTATTATTCCACACTCGGAAAAATGTTTTATTTAAATTTAAAAATCGCTCTTCGTTCTATTTTAAGTAGAGATTTTTTTTTTAAATATATTTCAAATAATTTCGATTTTCATAATAAAATATTTTTGAGTAGAGGAAATCTTTTCTTGACAATATTTAAGCAACAAAATTAATATTAATTTCTTTATTAATATAAATAAAGTAAAAACACAAATTCAATACCTATTCAATAGTAAAAACTATTTACTTTAGACTTAAAAATATATTTTTATAAATTCCAGTCAAATTTCCATTTAATTTTTCTTTTAAATTAGAATTTTGTCTTAAACTGGAAATTTTTAGTTTCAAATTTATTAGGAAAGAAAATCAAAAATATTTCAAGACTTTCTATTATAAATAAAAAATAAATAAATGACAAATAATTATTTATTTCAGAAAAAATTCGTAAAAGTAAAAATAGAACTTAAAATAAAAAACTAGTAAAAATTGAAATAGAAAAGTAAGAGTTGAAATCTTAAAAAATTATTATTCATTAACAAATACAAATAAAAAACAGTAAATCTGTTTTTACTAATTATTCCTGTAGAATTTTATTTTTAATGAGCCCAGTTTGAATTTTTCTTTCTCAAAATTTTAGTGCAAAATAATTAATAGAAATTTTGAAAATTATTCATTTAAACTTTTTTTTCACATTTTCTTTTTAATTTAAATTCATTTCAAGAATATATGTCCTTTTTGTTTAAAAAGTAACTTATTTAAATTGTTAAAAACAATATTAATTAACAAATAGTTAACTTTTGTTCCTCTCCACCAGAAAAATTTTTTTCACGTCTACTTTTTTATTTAGGTTCATTTGATTAATATAAGAATGTAAGTATAAGTACTTAGTTTAATTTCACAACCAACCAACCAATTTATTTACATTTTATATTTCATTTATAAATTTAATTTACAATTATAAATAATGATTTTAAGTTTTACTTATTTAATTATTAAAGGTGGAAGAAGTTACCAATCGTAACAATTCCACCTTTAATATTAATACCGAATGATAAATTCCCTTCCTTTAATTATTGAATTATTAATTAATAATGAGAAATAGATATTGTCAGTGTAACAAATATTATTTTCAACTGCTGTAATTCTGCTAATAATTTCAACTATCATTAACTCTATAAATAAAAAATTATTATTAAAAAAACTGTTTTTATATTTTTTGGTACTTACTCTTTATTTTTCCAAAAATGACTGGGGAAATTGAACATAAAATCGTCTTCTCGAAAATGCGTCGCAATCTCGATAGCTATTGCACGTCATATTCAATTAATAAATTTTTATTAATAAATTGAAGGCTATTGAACTCACTTAGGCAGAAGGAGAAAAATATTCATAAAGGAAAGAAGAGAAGGGGAAAGGCTCAATTTTAATTTTGTACTTATTTGGTCGTTTTGAGAAAAAGATAGACAAGGACGAAAAGAAAACAATTCTCTCAACAATAACAAGGGTCGTTATCCCCTTGTTTACAATAGGGGATTAACTTTTCTTTCTAATCATGTTTAAAAGGCTACGAAATATTTAAATGAATAATTTTCAAATTTTCAGTAATTTTCCATTAAAATTTTAAGAAAAAAAAATTCAAAAACTACTCAATAAAAAATAAAATTTTACAGAAATAAATAGTAAAAGTATTTACTGATTTTTATTTATATTTATCAATAGATAATAATTATTTTCAAAAAATTTAACTCTTACTTTTTTATTTTAATTTTTAGGTACTAGTTTTTCAATTTTTAATTCTATTTTTTTTTCAAATAAATATTTATTTGACTTGAAATATTTTTCATTTTCTTTCTTAACAAACTTGAAATTTAAATTTATAGTTAAAGAAAAATAATTTTAAGACTAGTTAAAATTTAACAATTTTTTTAAAGTTTACAGTAATTTTATACCATTAAAATTTTAAGAAAATTAAGAATGGCAAATAGAAAAGCTAATAAAATTCATTAACAATTGTGACTAAATATATTTTTATTTTCAATTTATTTTTAAAAATTTTTAATTATTATAATTTTATAATTTTCAATTTTTAGTTTTTTTTTATTTTATCTTTATTTTTGTTTTTCATTGTTACTAATTTAAATTTTAAATAAAATATTATTTGTCTAGAAATATTTTTGTTTAATTATTCTAAAGAATTTGGAATTTCTAACAAAATTTATTAAAAATTTTCAAAAAAATAAAATTCCTTAACAACTGCCCAAGGACGTAAATTTTCTTATTTACAATTTCCTGTAATTTTCCACTTAAAATTCATGGAAAGAAAGTAAAATTACTAAAAAAAACAAAAAGTAAAATTTTAGAATAAAAATTTATTAAAAAATGTTTTATTTTTAATTCTTATTTTTATTTAGTTTTAATTTCTCCTATTTTTTGCAATGCAAGAAAACAATATTGTTTATAATTTTATGAAAGTATTTTTCAATTTAAAGACAATCTATAATTAAAATTTTAATAAAAACTTCAATGAAAATTAATAAAAATTTGATTGAAATTTATAAAAATAAATAGCTTTAATTCTTATTCTGGATATTAGTTTTTATTTGAATATTGAATTTGTGTTTACTGTATTTATTAAAGAAGAAATTAATATTAATTTTAATTCTAACTTTTATCTAAAAGAAAAAATTATTTATTTGTAATATTTCTGACTATTTTTATTTGAAAATAAAATTGTTTTCTAATTTTATTTGGAATCTATAACTTATTTTTTTAATGTACATAGTAATGATGTTATCACTCGGTCGATAAATTAATAAAAACGATGAGATAGTCGATCACTCGGAGTGATCGACTATCTCATCGTTTTTATTATTTTTTTTATGATTTATTTTTTTTTAAATAAATGTATTAGAAAAAAATTTGTTTTAACATTTTTTATTTAAGAATTAAAGTTGGTTAAAAAAAATTTTAAATCATAGAAAATATGTTTAATAATAATTTTTATTAAATATTTTTCCATTTTGAAGACATAATCTATCTATAATTAAAATTTCAATACGAAAAATTCTAATTTTATTTAAAAAGAACTTACATAAAAATTGATAAAAATTTGGAAGTTATAAAAATATATTTCTTGTAGTTTTCATTTTAATACGAAAATTTAAATTTTAAATATAATAAATTTATTTATTTATAATAAATTTATTATATTATTAAATTAAAATGTGAAAAATTTGAATTTTAATGATAAGTTTTAAACGTAATTTAAATTATGAAACTTACCTAAATACTCCACTGCTGTGAACTCGATGAGTGTTTTGAAAAATGACCTTCAAAATGTAACTGATATTATAATTTTGAATTTCAATTTTCTTAGCTTAATTATCTGATGTCTCTTTGGTTTTATTACATACCTTGAAAAATTTTAGCCAGAATAAAATATTTAATTTTTAAATTCATATTCAAATAATAAAATAACCTTCTTTTATTATTTAAAATAATTATTACCATTTTTTTCAATTATTTATTTTAATTTATATTTTTAATTATTGTCTTGAATCTTATTTTTTATTTTATTTTTCTATTATTTAGTAATTAATAAATTATAAAATTTTGACCCAAATTAAATAAACGGTTCTTTCATTTTTAATTTTATTATTAGTTATAATTATAATTTTTCAATATTATATTTAGAATTATGTTCAAATTTTATTTCTTATTAAAATATTTTTTTACTTTTATTCTAATTACTCTAACTTTCAATTTCAATTATTTTATTAGAATTAAGTAGAAATTTCGACTATTTTAGTTTAAAATTGAAAAAAATATTAAAATGTACGTGAAGAACTAGAAAATTTAATTTATTATAAAAGAATAGAATTTATGAAAATAAAAACTAATATTTTCGTGGAAATAATTTTAAATCACAACAATTAATGTATCAAACGAAAATTGAATCTAACGTGTAAAAATTTGTTGGCCCTGAAAAGGGCCGATTGTATTTTTTTGTTTTCGTTTGTCGTGCGGAAAAAGGAATTATTTAAGCCTTCTTCTCTGTCTTCTTGGGCAAAAGAACTGCCTGAATATTGGGCAGAACTCCACCTTGAGAGATGGTAACTCCAGAAAGAAGTTTATTCAATTCCTCGTCGTTCCTGACGGCCAATTGCAAATGTCTTGGAATGATTCTCGATTTCTTATTGTCTCTCGCAGCATTACCGGCCAATTCCAAGACTTCAGCAGCCAAATATTCCATGACAGCTGCCAAATAAACGGGCGCACCAGCTCCAACACGTTCAGCGTAATTTCCCTTACGCAAATGACGATGAATTCTACCAACAGGAAACTGTAGTCCAGCACGACTTGAACGTGTCTTTGACTTTGTCTTCGCTTTTCCTCCTTTACCACGTCCAGACATTTTTAATTACTTTTTATGTTCAGCGAATAAATTTGGTCGAGGATAACTGATTGCTCAGTTGTTCGAGTCGAATGATACTGAACCGTCGCCGAATTTACCCGCTTATTATATACTCCCCGATGCTACGAAATCCCCACCAAACAGTTCGTCCACTGTACGCTGATTGGTGCGCCATCTTCCCGCCAAACTCAATAAAAAGAACGCGCATAACGCTCAACACCGCATTCAGTCTTTGATTTTTGTCGAGTCTACATTTGTGTCTGGAAGAATAATTTTCATTCGAGATGGCTCCCAAAGCAAGTGGCAAGTCGATTAAGAAGGCTGGTAAAGCCCAGAAGAATATTTCAAAGTCAGACAAGAAAGTGAAGCGTAAGAAGAGGAAGGAAAGTTACGCTATTTATATTTACAAAGTGCTAAAACAAGTGCATCCCGATACTGGAGTTTCCAGCAAGGCAATGAATATCATGAACAGTTTTGTTAATGACATCTTCGAGCGTATTGCGTCAGAGTCCTCTCGTTTGGCGCATTACAACAAGAGATCAACAATTACATCACGGGAAATTCAAACTGCCGTGAGACTTTTATTACCTGGCGAACTTGCCAAGCACGCCGTCTCTGAAGGTACAAAAGCTGTGACAAAATACACCAGCTCCAAGTAAATCCAAAAAGAAAATTTTTTGGAACGAAAAATAACACATCAATCGGCCCTTTTCAGGGCCACCAAATTTTTACACGTTGGATTACAATTTTGTTCTCTTAATTATCTTTTTAATTTATTCTATTGAATAAATGTCAACAAAAATTATTGCGGATATTTATTAAATTAAAAATACTATATTAGTTAAAATCAATTGATAAAAATACTAATAATTTAATGACTATTCTGGAAATATTTTTTTATACAAATTAAATAATTATGTTGTTAAATGTAATTAATTAGTTACCAATAATTAAAGTAATTTAATTGATTAGTTTATAAATTTAAATAAAATTTGAAATTTAATTTGCCTGATTTTTAATACTCTGATATTATTATAATATTATCTTTATCAGATAGGTAATAAATTAAGAATTCAATTAATTTCAGTTGAATTAAACAATTCATAATGAAATAAAATAATTAAGTATAATATAATAAAATTAATTTCAATATGATTAATATTATAATATTACATAATTTAATATTAATATTATTAAAAATTATAATAAAATGAATTACAAGGCAAAATAAAATTTACTTCAAAATAATAATAAAAACTACAATAAAAAGAATTACAAAATAAAAAATTAAATTAGTTTCCAAAAATAATCCAAATTAAAATTTAATAAAATTTATTTCAAAATAATGGTAAAATTTTATTAATATTCTTATTAAAAACTACAATAAAAAGAAATACAAAATAAAAAATTAAAATTGAATTAAATTAATTTCTAATATTATTAAAAATTATACTAAAATAAATTTCAAAATAAAAAAAATTAAATTTTAATCAATTTAATTTCTAAAGATAGTAAAATTTTATTAATATTATTAGAAATTTTAATAAAACATATTATATTCCAAAATAATGAAAATTTATATTTATTGAAATTAATTACAGTATGATAATAAAATTTTATTAGTATTAAAAATTTTTAATAATAATAAATTAAATTAGAAAATAAAATTTTAATGAAATTAATTTCAACATTTCAATAAAATTTTATTATTATTATCAATAATTGTAAAATACAAATTACGAAATAAATATAAAAGAAAAATTGAAATAAATAAAAGAAAAATTGAAAGAAATTAATTTCCATATAATTAAATTTTAATGTTAATTTAAATAATAAAATAATGCATAGAATACTTTGAGATTATTAGGAAGTTAAAAAATTTATTTTTAAACGAAGAAATTAGTGAAATATTCTTAAATTGAGGGATTCGTATAATATAATTTAGAAATGAAATAAACGGTTTCAAGAAAGTATAAGTTTCACCTTCAATTAGATATTTATGTCTTGAAATAATAAGAATAACCTTCGTCGACAAATTTTGAAAACAAAACTCAAGTGAAACGTTAAGCTTTATAAAGTTTTCTTGAAATATTAAAATATTTGAAAATAATTTTAGTTTAATAATTAATTAGTATTATAATAAATTAAACTGTTAAAAAGAATTTGTTTAATTAATTAATTATTAGCATTATGATATTAATTATTCAGTTAATACCATTTAAATATTTAATTTAAATTAAATATAATATAAATTAATTAAAAGTATTAAAGCATCATAATAAAATTATAATTAAAAAATAAATTTTTTAATATAAATATTTTAATTATATTTCTTATTATTACCTAAATTATGAAATTAAATCAAAATGGCGAAATAAATATTAAATAATTTATAATAAATTAAATAATTTTCTATATATAAAAAATTCGTTCGAAGTATACGAAGTTAATAAATTAATTACAAAAACTCTAATTGAAAAATTGATTGGAATTCACTAATTCAAATTAAAAAAATATTTTTACTAATTCAAATTTAGAGAGTTTAATATTCAATTATTATCTAAAATTTTAACTGAAATTCATATTTAAATCAATTTTTATTAGAAAATTCTTAGAGAATTCATATATTTAAATACAAGAATAAATAATTTATTGAAGAATTGGATGTTTTTTTTAAAATTGAACTCTCATATAAAGAATTTTATCAACAAATTTTTAAATAGGTAGTTAAAATTCTTTTGACGAATTTTAATAACATTTTTAAGAATAATTTCACTTTTCGAGAAATTAGATTAAAATTGTATTAAAAGTAATTGAATCTCTGTAAAAAATTTGATTGAATTGAGAATAGTTTTTGAAAATAATTGAAATTTTGGAGAAAAATTTTATTACCTATTTATAAAGATAATTTAAATTTTGAAGAGAATTCTCTTTCAAACTTTTGACCATAATTAAATTTCTGCGAAGAATTTTTATTACTTTTGATATTTTCAAATTATAAATTGAATTCTTATTCGAGACGAATTTTAATATTTCTTTTTAAATAATTTGTGAAAACCTACAAAGTTTTTTATTATTTATGAAAATAATTGAATCTCTTTAAAAAAATTTGATAATTTTTTAATTTGAATTTTAATATTTCTTTTTAAATAATTTGTGTAAACCTACAAAGTTTTTTTATTATTTATGAAAATAATTGAATTATTGCGAAGAAATTTATAAAGAATTTGTAAATAAATAGAATTTCTGTGAAATTTTTATTATTTAATTAATTCATTCAAAATTGAAATTTTACAAAATTTCAAATTACAACCTTTTGAAGTTTATCTATTTATGAAAATTGTAAACGTAACTCTTTTAAAATTGAATTAATTTTAAAATATTTAAGAATAAGCACAATAACTTTAAAAAATTATATCAGGATTCCGATTAAAATTCGCTGACTTTTCCAGGTTTTTTCAAGGTTTATAAAATTCTCTACAAAAAATCTTTTAAAAATAATTGAATTTTTGAAAAATATAAATAAAAATGATCAAATTTTTGAAGAATTTTAATTATAATCAGGACCGCATGATTTCTCAAAAATTTTAATAAATTTTTATTTATATTCAGGGTTGCTACAGAAGTCTGTTTTTAAATTTCCATGACTTTTCCAGGTTTTCCAGTACCAAATCTGATAAATTTCCAGGTCACCTTTTGAACATTATAAATTAGAGCAATTTTTGAAGAAAAATTGGCCTAATAATAATAAATTAGAATTTTTCTGTATTATAAAAATATTCACGTTAGATTATCTCTATTTGATTATTAAAGCACAGACAGGGTGTCTACTGAAAATATGACTTAAAATTCCAGGACATTCCAGGACAGATTTTTTAATTTTCTAGGACATTTACATGTGTAATATTATTTCATATTACGATTAACATAATGTAAATTAACCTACTTGAACAAAAATATTAATTTTATTATAAAAAGAGTTAAAAATCAATATTATATAATATAGATATCAGATTCTTTAATCAAACGACAAATTAAAATTATTTTTTGATGGATCAAAAAAATTATTTTTTTAAATTTGAGTAAAATTTTTAAATTATTGAATATTTAAAAGCAAAATATGGAAAATTCAAGGATATTTCAGGACATTTCCAGGAATTCCAGGACATTATTTTTTAAAAGAAAAAATGTAGTAAAAAATATTAAGTGGAATAAAATTCCAGGCATTTCAAATTTCCATGACATTTCCAGGTATTCCAGACCATTTTTTAAAAAATCCCTGACTTTTCCAGGTATTCCAGACCTTTTTTAAAAAATCCCTGACTTTTCCAGGTTTTCCAGGTTCTGTAGCAACCCTGATATTGTTCGAAGATAATTAAATCTTAAGAAATTATTATAAAATAATTCTAATAATTTGTTCTTCAAAATATTTTAATGGAATTTTTCGAAAATAATTGGATTTCTTAAAATAATTTTTGTATAGTTTTAAAACACTAATTAATTTTTTGATGAATTTTAATTAAAAATGTTTAACATGACTATATTCTCCTAAATGTTATAAATAATTCTAAAATGTTATTATTTTTGGATATTTTGAATTTTAAAAAATTAGAAGCTAATTTTCATTAATTTTTACTAAAAATTGTGGTATTTGGTTGCAATGTTTGAAAGAAAAGTCACAATTTTTGAAAATATGTCGAAATGTCTTAATTTCCCTGAAAAAAATTTTTATCCTCACATTTCCCTGTTTTTACTGACATGTGGCCACTCTGATGAAGGAATTAAAAAAAATTGAACATCAAAAGTTAAATAACTGCATTGAAAAAATATAAAATTCAAAGAAAAAGTTAAGTTTGAATAGAGAGATTAAAAAAAAACTACAAAGAAAATTACGAAATTACAAAAACTACTTTTAAAAGTTAATAAATTCGAGTACTAAAAACTTACATTCTGAACATGAAATTATTCTCAATGTAGAAAAAATTGTTGGCCCTGAAAAGGGCCGATTGATGTTGGGTTTTTTTTTCTTCTTTCGATGTCAACTGTGGAAAATTAAGCGCGTTCACCACGGATACGACGAGCCAATTGAATGTCCTTTGGCATAATTGTCACTCTTTTAGCATGGATAGCGCACAAGTTGGTATCCTCGAATAAACCAACCAAGTATGCTTCGCTAGCTTCCTGCAGGGCCATCACAGCTGAACTTTGGAATCGCAAATCAGTCTTGAAATCCTGAGCAATTTCACGCACGAGTCGTTGAAATGGCAATTTACGAATCAAAAGTTCTGTACTCTTTTGATAACGACGAATTTCCCTGAGAGCAACAGTTCCGGGCCTATATCTATGCGGCTTCTTCACTCCTCCAGTTGCTGGTGCACTTTTTCTTGCAGCTTTAGTGGCAAGCTGTTTCCTTGGCGCTTTTCCTCCAGTTGATTTACGGGCAGTTTGCTTGGTGCGAGCCATTTTCTTTTCGTTTTCAGATGACAAATGATGTTTACTGAACGAGAGACAACACGAGAATGCTTTGACCGAGACGAGAGCGTCACTTATATTGCGACTCTGCTATTCGCTGATTGGTCGGCTTGGAATGGGAGGTGGAAAAAGTTGAAACACTTTCTCTAAAGAGGGGGTACCCTGCTTACCGTTACTATAAAAAGACGTGTTAAGACTGTGAGTTTATCATTCTCTGTTCTCATCTTGTTCGTTAAAAACCTGTTTCGTTACTAGAAAAAAAAATGACCGGCCGTGGAAAAGGAGGAAAAGGATTGGGTAAAGGAGGAGCTAAACGTCATCGCAAAGTTCTTCGTGATAACATCCAGGGTATCACAAAGCCCGCAATTCGTCGTCTGGCTCGTCGTGGCGGAGTTAAACGTATCTCAGGCTTGATTTACGAAGAAACACGTGGTGTATTGAAAGTATTTTTGGAAAACGTTATCCGTGATGCCGTCACTTATACTGAACACGCAAAAAGGAAAACTGTCACTTCAATGGACGTTGTTTACGCTTTGAAACGCCAGGGACGTACTCTCTACGGATTCGGTGGTTAAATATTCCTCCTTAACTGCAAAAAAAAAAACATCAATCGGCCCTTTTCAGGGCCAACAAATCTTTTCACTGTGAGAATAATTTTTGTTCAATTTTTACTTAATTTTCGAATTGTTCGATAAGTGAATATAAAATTTAAAAAGTGACCACAAGTAAGGGAAGTCAGGGATTTTTAGTAAATGTGCTGGAAAAAATTAAATTTTTAAAATTCATGAGAAAACTCTAAATTTTGATATTTTTTTTATTTGACTCGTAAACTATGAAATTAACACGAATTTGAATACAAAACCTTCAGTTTTTTTGTTTCTGACAATAATTTCTTTTTAAATAACTTAATTTTTCAAGAACTATCATAAAATTATGACTTATAAATTATTTAACGAATAACTTTTATACAATTTTCATAAATTAATTTTCATAAATCAATCTAGTGATTGATGAAAGAATTTTAGTTAAAAATACAAAAAAAAATTTGAAGTTTGGAATAGTTACAAATGATTCCAGAAATTCAATTATTTTTAAAAGTTATAGAAATTCATCGCAGAATTTCAATTATGTTCAAAAATTTTTGTTAAATTCTCGTCAAAATTTTAATTATCTTTATAAATAATAAAATTCTTCATCGAGATTCAATTATTTTTAAAAATTTTATTAAAATTCTTGGCAAAATTTCACAGGAATTCAATATTATTTATAAAATTTTTAATAAATTTCATAAGTATAGTAAAATTTTTACAGGAATTCAATTATTTAAAATACAAAATTTCACAAAATTTTTCGAAAAATATCAGATTTGTTTATAAAATAATTCGTCGCAAGAATTCAATTATTTAAAAAAATTTAACAAAGTTCTTTTCAAGAAATCAATTTTTTTGATAAATAATAAAATTCTTCACTGAAATTCAATTATTTTTATAAACACAGGATTTTAATTAATTTTTGATACAATATTTCAATCAAATTCCTCGATAAATGTAATTATTCTTTAAAATTTCATTAAAATTTGTCAAAATAATAGACCTTTTCATTTCAATTATTTTCTTTGCGCATGCGTTATATGGAATTGAAGTTCCGTTTCAAGTTTCGGCCCTGTTTACAGCTATTGCATTATTCAGATATGAAAAAATTATAAAAAGTGTTCTAATAATTATTATATATTGCATAAAAATGGAGTATAATAATTATAACAAATACTGGAATAAATTTAATGAAAAAATTAAGGACGGAGCATATATTAATTATTTTATCAATAAGTTATTTTTGAAATATCAATAATTTATTTTAGTTTTTTTGCATTTCTACATGCAACGTTAATAAAAATAATAAATAAAAGTGAAAGAGGTAACTATTATGTTTTTCACATTTCATCAGCGAATAACAATATGTCAATATATAGTAAACATAACCTCACTCTGGAACCAACTCTTTTTTCTTCTTTTAGTTGACTGTTTTCTGCACTGCAGTGATATTTTTAATTGCAAATTTAACTGCGTGTTTTTATGTTTAAATTTGATACCAATTTTGCACCGGACACATTTTCTTTTCTCTATAAAAACATGAGCAAAAGTAAAGTTTTAACACATGTTAATAGAACAGGGCCGAAACTTTTAAAATTGGTGAACTGTCATGGTTGCTGCGCAGGCGCATTCGCGACTTCCGAATTGAAATGAAAAGGTCTATTGAATTATTTAAAAATTTGTTGATAAAATTCTTTATGAGAATTCAATTTTAACAAACATTCAATTATTCAATAAATTATTTATTTTTTAATTTAAATAATTGAATTCTTATAGAATTTTCTAATAAAAATTGATTAAAAAATGAATTACCGAATAATCGATTTATTATTTATGAAAATAATTGAATTCTTGCAACGAATTTTATTACATTTTTTTTAAATAATTGAATTTTTTTGAGAAATTTTACTACTTGCAAAAATAATTGAATTTTTGCGAAGGATTTTATTAGGATTTTTGTAAATAATTAACTTTTTTTTAAAAAATTTTATGGTAATTTAAATTATTACAAAACATGAAGAAATTGTTTGCTCCGAGTCGAAGACTCGGACTGATCGCCTTCTTCATGTTTTATAATAATATTCTTATAAGTTGTTGAATTTCAAAAAGGTTTGAATTTGAATGTTTAATTTAATGTTTAATGTTTTTATTTAAAATTCCTACATAAAAATAATAATAATTATTAAATATTAATTTAAAAAGGAAGTTATTGATGTTTTTGAATAATTTTACAATTACAGAAATTCGTAAATAAATGTAATAGAACATTTTTTTAAGTATCTAAAAATTTTTATTCAAAAGAAATGGAAAAAGTTTGTATGATTTCTATTCGTTAATTACAATTTTTGTCACGAAGTTTAAATTTTATTTTAAAAGGAAAAAATTTGCAATATTTTATTTTTTCTCAATAAAATAATAATTAATAAATAAAATCAATAAATTGTTTAAAACTAAAAGATATTTGTTTTAAGCACTTAATAATAAAAATTTTCAATTTATTATAAAAATAAATAAGAAAAATTACAATAAAATCTATAAAAACTTAACGAAAAACAAAAGAATGCACAAAAGACTATAACTTCAAATGTGGACAGAAAGAAAGAATACCACGATTATTTATAGTTTATAATTAATAATTTTCAACTATATACTTATCTTTACTATTGACTACAGTTGAATGAAACAAAAACAATTTAAAAATGGATAAATTTTATTAAACATAAGAGAAACAACGAATCGTCTTAAACTCATAGAGCAAATATTCAATCACTGCGTCTCTTTTACAGTAATATTTTTTTCTTAATCATTAACAATGATTTTTTTTAATTAATAGTAGAACAATTAATAACAAATACGTATTACAACATTCTATATACTATTTTTCTTTTCCATTTGCTAGGAACAACACCGTACAAATGCTATTACACACGTAATATAACTTTTTTTTCGATATGGATTTTACTTGATTTAAATGCTTATTTTTATTTTTGAGAGATTGAAGAAGGTCATTGTCAGGATTTTGAGATAAACACGACAATAATATTGAATCGAATTTACGAAGACATATTGTGCAGATACGCTGACGCAGAATTTAAAAGTCCCAATCGTTGCTTTTGCTTTCGCTGCTCCGTCATCTTTAAATAAAATTATTTTCGTCAATTAAAAATCTATTTTTAAAGTGAAAATAAAAATTATTAATAATTGATGATAACATTAATTTTAAAATTGAAAAAAAACGTTTAAGAAGAAAAATTATTTAAAAAGTTAGGAAACAAAAAATTTTTCTAACTTTTTAAATAAGTTTTCTTAAATATTTTTTCTAAATTTAAAAAATGTAATTAATTAAATTAATTTTTCATTAATTAGTTAATTAATGTTTATTTAAAGAGAAACTGAGAGCAAACCTGATCACGAAGTTCAGTGAGTTGTTGTGATAGACATTTAACTAATTGTTGCGTGCTTTCTAATTGCGATTGTAAACTTCGAAGTTCAACTTGCTCGCCCTCTCCCTCGTCGGCGGCTAATGATTTCGCCCTGAGACGTGGGAACCAGTCAAGATTTCGATCCTGTGAAAGTACATAGAGCTTAAAGAAATTGTATACTTAAAATTAATTTTCCAAGCTCAATGGACAATTACCTTGACCATTGCGTAGACATATGATTCCGGTCCTGTGAATTCAGTCGGATCTTTTACCTTTACGAGAACAATGAAGTAAAGATAGTGCCACATATTGTGCTCGTGTTTCACGTGCTCCTCAAACGACACTGTTTTATTGTCGAATGCCGATCTATTTAAACCTGTAAAAAAAAGAAAAAAAATTCATTTCAATTTCCTTTTTTTCACTTTTCTAATCTATGAATTAAAAAAAAAATTTATTCCATTGTCTTATAAAAAATACAAGAGAAAAATAAAAAAAAACATTTTTTCACTTTTCTCGTCTAATTTATGAATTGTTAAATTTTATTCCATTGATTAATCGAAAATATAAAATGTAAATCAAAATAAAATTTTCTTTCTTCTTTCTTCACTTTTCTAATTTAGTTTATGAATTTTTATTCCCTTGATTAATAAAAAATATAAGATAAATAATTAATTAATTAATAAGACAAATTAAATTATTTTTATTAAATTAATTGATATTAAATTAAATATTACTAATTAAATTTAAAAAGAAAACAACTTTTTTTTATAAAAAAAAAGAAAATATTTAACGAGAAAGAAAATTTTTTTTTTTTTTGCAATAAATAATTTTTAATTTGTAGAAGAAATTCATTTTACCGCAAATGAAACATGTGTTTTTTAAAATCAGTTCCTTCTGCTGCTTTTCTGATCTTAGATCCGCAAATGTATCAATAATGACACCAAAAATCAAATTGAGAACAATAATTATCACTATGAAGAAGAAGAGTAAATCGTAAACGACTCTTGCGACAAATAATGGCTCCTAAAAGCAAAAATTACAATTAAATCTTATTTAAATAAATTCAAGAAAATTAATAAATTGAAATAAATTTAAGTAAATTAATGATTTAAAATAAATTCAAGTAAATTAAAGAATTGCAAAAAAATAAGTTAACTAAATAAATTGAAATAATTTTACGTAACTAAATCGAAATAATTTTAAGTAACTGAATAAATATTGAAATAAATTTAAGAAAACTAATAAATTGAATTATAAATTCAAGTAAATTAATGAATTAAAAAAAAATTAAGAAAATAAATAGAAAGAATTTAAGTTAATAAATAAATTTAAGGAAACTAATAAATTGAAATACATTTAAGTAAATCAATAAATTTTAATAAATTAAAATAGAAATAGAAATTGAAAAATGAACTAATAATAAGCAAATTGAAAGAAACAATTATTTTCATTTAAAAAAAATTGTTGTTAATTATTTCAATATACTTTATAAATTTAAAAATACTCACGGTACTTGAGGGTGCTCGTAAAATATCGCCAATTCCTCCGCCATTACGAAGTCCTTGATTCAAAGTTGTAACGATACACATAACGAGAGAATCGCAAGCTCGTTCCTTCGAATCGCCACCAACGTTTATTAATTCCGATTCACGATCGTTTTCCTGAACGGATCGTGAAATTGTTTCAGTGGTTTCGCAATTTTCCATATTGTCCTTACTGCATGAACCAGTCATTGCAATTTTCTCCGGGGCTAAACAATGACAAAGAAAAACAGTAAATTAAACAGAAATGGTGTATCATAAAAATATCCAAAATGAAATAAAATAAAAATAATAAATAAAAGAAATAAAGTAAATTAAAAAATAATAAAATACGGTAAAATATTATATTATAAACAATTGTAATTATTTAATAAATTATTAAATAAATTACTAAATGAATTCTTAAATAAATTATTAAACAAACTATTCAGAGAATTGTTAAATAAAAATTTTAACCAAAATGTAAAAATTTAATTAAATAGTGAAAATTTTAATTTAATGGTAAAAATAAAAATTTTAAATTGAATACCAAAATATTAATTTCTAGAGAGAATAAATTTTTCTCAATGTATATATACCGAGGAGAAACTTACAGTTTATTTCCTCATCAACGCTAACTAAGAAATCGTCCTTGAAGAACATGAATCCAATAATGGAAAACATGTAAACTAGAATCAATGCGAGGACTGCAGTTAATATTATAGATCTTCCATTTCTCGTTACCGATCTTATCACATTGAGCAAAGTTTCCTCCCGGTAAATTACATCGAAGAGCTAAAAAAAATGCATAAAAATTAGTAAATATTTACTTCACTGAAAATATATATTTTTAAAATAAATAAGAATAAAAATTCTTATTACGCAACTATAATATTAATTACATACTCAAAACAAAAAATAATAATATCAATATCAATAGTAATAATAATAATTTTCTACTAAATAATTACCAAAACAGAGTAGAAAAATGGATGTACAAATATTCCAAGGACACAAAATATAAGATATAATAAGTGATAGAGCAGTTCGACGTCTGTTATAATATGCTCGATATTTTTGGTCAACGTTCCTTGATTGCCTATTATACTAATGAAATGAACTATTTTTAAAATAACCTGAAAAAATCGAAATATTTAAAATTAAAAATTTAATATTTCGAAAATATTTCAAAAATAACAAAAATATTCTAAAATATTTCAAAACCAATAGAAATGTTATAAAACAATTCAAAAATAATATAAATATGCAAAATATTCTTAAAAATACAGGGTTGCTCGCAACCTAAAAAACCTGGAAATGTCAGGGAATTTCATAAACCTTGAAAAACCTGGAAAAATCAGGGAATTTTGATCGAAATCCTGGAAAATTGTTGTTTTTTAAAATTATTGTGTTTATTCTTGAAATCTAATTTCACTTAAATATTTCAAAATTAATTCAATTTTAAAAGAATTACGTTTACAATTTTCATAACTATATGAATTTCAAAAGATTTTGATTTAAAATTTTGTAAAATTTCAATTTTACATGAATTTAATTAGAAACATAAAAAAAACTTAGATTTAAAAAAAATTTGAAAAACTAAAATTCTTCTGAAATTAGTTAAATTTTTGAATATATATTTAATTGATTATTAAAAATAATGGATTTATAGAAGAATTTTAGTTAAACAAACTAAAACAAATTGAATTTTAAAGCAATTACAAATGATTGCAGAAATTCAATTATTTTCAAAAATTTTAATAAAATTCTTGGCAAAATTTTAATTATTTTCAAAAACTTTCCTCAATTCAATGATTTTTAATATTTACTACTTTAATAAAAATTAATAAAAGAATTCAATTATAGTTAAAAAAATTTTTTAATAAAATTCTACTCAAACATTTAATAAATTATTTTCACAAATAATAAAAATTCCACAGAAATTCAATTACATATTTTCATATATTTTTTATTCAATTATTTTTATGAATAATAAAATTTTTTACAAGGATTCAATTATTTTCGTAAATAATAAAACTCAATGCTGAATTTCAATTATTTTTAATCAAATTTTAATGGAGTTCCTTGAAAAAAGTTATTAACTATTCTTAAAAATTTTGTTAAAATTTATCAAAAAAATTCGATTATTTTAATAACCTTTGCTACAATTCATTTATTAGAATTGAAGTATTATTTTCAATAAATTATTAATTAAATTTCTTTATAATAATAAAATTATTTTCAAAAATTTTAATGAAATTCTTTGCGTAACAATTCAATTTTTTTTCAAAATAATTTTAATAAAAATTTTCGCAGAAATCCAATTGTGACGCGATCTGAAGAAAGGGACCTTAGAAGCAAATCACTTTAAGGTTGGGTTAGAGTTACTTTTTTCTTGTTTGAAAGTTTCTTTTTATTTATTTCGAATTAAAATCAGTGTTTATTAAATATTTTAGTTGTAATGAAGACTTAAACATCAATGATTTATATTGACAGTTGATCCCTTTTTTGTATTTTCATTTAAAAAATTGAAAACATAACCTATAATTTTTTGCTTCTAAGGTCCCTTTCTTCAGATCGCGTCACAATTATGTTTAAAAATTTACAAAACTTCTCGGCAAAATTTCAATTATCTTTATAAATAATAAAATATTTCTCCGAAATTCAATTATTTTCAAAACTTTTAATAAAATTCTTGGCAGAATTTCAATTATTTTTAATATAATTTTCATCAAATTTCTCGAAAAATGCAATTATTCCTAAAAATTTTATTAAAATTTGTCAAGAGAATTAAATTATTTAAAAATTTGTTGATAAAATTCTGTATGAAAATTCAATTTTAAGAAACATTTAATTATTTAATAAAATTTTATTTATTTTTGTAGTTAAATAATTGAATTCTCGTAGAATTTTCTAATAAATATTATTTTAAAAATCAATTTCAAATTAAAATCTTTGAAAATTTTAACTTTTCATGCTTTTAATTAAGAATTCTAAAGAATTAATTTTTCTCAATAAGTTAAATGAAATTTTTTTAAAATTATTTCAAGTTTTTTATTTCTAATATATTTAATAGAAAAATGTCATACTAATCGAAATTTCGTAAAATTAAATTGCAAACAAAAGAATTTGAATATTTAAAAAGAACTTTTTCAAAAATTATTTAAAAAAATTAACTCGAAGAAGAATAATTCAATTATTTTCATAAGTAATAAAATTTTCACAGGAATTAAATTATTTAAAATACAAAATTTTATATATTTTTTCGAAAAATATCAATTATTTAAAAAGATTTTTTTATAAATTAATTCGTCGCAAGAATTCAATTATTTAAAAAAATTTAACAAAGTTCTTTTCAAGAAATAAATTTTTTTTATAAATAATAAAATTCTTCACCGAAATTCAATTATTTTTATAAACTTGAATAAAATTCGTTGCAAGAATTCAATGATTTTCAAAAGTAATAAAATTCTTCGCAGTAATTCAATTATGTTAAAATATTAAACAAAACTTCTTGTAATTATTCTTAACAATTTTATTAAAATTTGTCAAAAGAATTCAATTATTTAAAAATTTGTTGGTAAAATTTTTTACCAATTTTGAAATTTTGAAATTTGAATTTTACCAATTCAATTTTAACAAACATTCAAATATTCAATAAATTATTTATTTTTTAATTTAAATAATTGAATTCTTCTAGAATTTTCTAATAAAAATTTATTTAAAAATGAATTACCGAATAATAGATTTATTATTTATGAAAATAATAAAATTGAATTCTTGCAACGAATTTTATTACATTTTTTTTAAATAATTGAATTTTTTTGAGAAATTTTACTACTTGCAAAAATAATTGAATTCTTGCGAAGGATTTTTGTAAATAATTAACTTTTTTTTAACTCGGAGTGATTGATATCTTCATGTTTTACAATAAATATTCTTATATGTTATTGAATTTCAAATTTTTGAAAATCTTAATTTCTATAAAAAAATAAGTTTGCAAATATTTTACTCACTGTTAAGAAACCAAGTAACCAAAGAGTTGGTTCTGGTCCCAATGAAAATATTAATCTTAAAATAGTCGAAGCAACTAATGTACGAATGCCGGATTCTCGAGGTAGAGTGACAACTATAACACCCGATGAGAGCATTGTGGTCCAAATGAGTCCCGAGAAATGTGAACTAAGTTCTGAAATAATTAATTATCGACAATTAAAAATTATGTTTACTTCACTTTTCATACAAAAAAATATGAATAAAAAAATATATATGATACAAAATAAAAATAAATAAAAAGTGAATTTAAAAATCTAAAATATAAGAATTAAACTGAAAATAAAAAGATTGACAAATAAGAAAATAAATAATATCTAGAAAAGAAAATAAATAAAAAAGGAGGTAAAAAAGAATAAAAAGCGAATTTTAAAAATTAAAGTATAAAAATTAAACTGATAAGAAAAGAAAGAGATTAAAAAACAAATAGAACAGTAAAAAAATAAATAAATAGAATAAAAAATAAAAATACATAAAATGAAAATGAAAAACAATTTCCGTTGGAATTAATAAAATGACAACTTACTGGGAACAGAATCGACAAATGGATAGAAAAACGCGACAATAAGATTAATTAATACGGCACAATTAAAGAGAATATTGCTCCAAAGTGACATGTAACTGCTCATCCAGAACAGCATTGGTTGCCCTAAAAAACAAATTACTTTTTAAAAGTAATATTATTATTTAATAACGAAAATATCGAATAGAAGTGCAAAATATTATTCGTTAATAATAAGAAAAACAATAAAACCTACATTTTTGTGTAAATTTAAAAAAAAAGAAAATGTACCTCTCAATTTCTTTTGCCATTTCATTTCATTGAACATATCTTCCGTTCTCTCGAAAAATTCCGAGACTTTTGAGCCCTGATCATCTCTCTCGGCTGTATTTAAAACACGAATTTTTGTATCGAGCGTTATTAGTTCGCAAATTTCCGGTATTGGAAATACAATTTGTTCCAAAGTTCGATCGTGTCTGACAATCTGAAATGTAACCAAAAAAACAATTAGATAAATATTCAGATTTCGCTAATTTTTTTAAAAACAAAAATATTTAATATTTTTTTCTAAAAAAAATTAATTTTCTTAAAAGAAAAAAACTTTTGCTAAGGCAAAGAAATAATTTTTTTTTAAACTCGCTTTGTTTCAGTCAAAATAAATTTTTCGTTTAAATAAAGAGGGTTCTTGATTCAAAGAAAATTTCTTTTTTCCTTGCTATACAATAAAAGAAAGAATTCTTTAATTAAAAAGGGAAAATTTCTTCGAAACAAATAAATTGTTTTTGAATCAAAGAAATTTACTCTTTATTAAAGAAATTTTTTCTTAATCAAAGAAATTTTCTTTCTATCAAAGAAAAATTAATTTTCAATCCAAAAAACAATTCAAAGCAAATAAATTCTTTCAATCGACAAAAACTTTTTTCTGCAAAAAAAAAAAAATATAATAAAAATATTTTTTTAGGAAAAATGAAAAGTAGTAGAAAAAAAAATTAAAATACAGACCTCGATTTGGGCAGTGTGAGAGGCATAATACTGAAGTGCCTTGTGAGTTTTCGGATCCATATTACTTTGTTCAGACGGTTTTAACAACGCTGCTAATTCTTTATTGTGTTGTGCTAATTGATGACAAAGAATGTAAATATTGTGTCCCACCTACATAAAAAGAAATATGAAATAAAATCAAAAAATTACAAAAACAAATTAAAAATATAATAAAAACTATTAAGGGTTCAAACCACTTTACACGCTTGAAAATTAACAGGGTTGTCACTAAAATTTAATTTCGTTTTTCCCTGACTTTTCCCTGATTTCCAGACAAAATTTTCACTTTTTCCCTGACCCGAAAAGAAAATTCTGATACACTCTAAAAATAATTAGGTGCTGAGAAAAATGTTCTAATACATTTATTTACGAATTTCTTTAATTGTAAAATTATTCGAAAACATCAACAACTTCTTTTTTAAATAAATATTTAATCATTATTATTTTTCCAGAAGAGTTAAGATTTTCAAAAATTTCAAATTCAAATATTTCGAAATTTAATAACTTATAATAATTAAAGATAACCCAGTGAATTAATATTAAAATAAAATTAATTCTATATGCAGAATTGTTAGTTAAAAGTACGAAAAATTCTGATTTTCAAAGATTTGAATTTGAAACCTTTTCAAAATTCAATTATTTCTAAATATTCCCTCCTAATGCTTTTTATATTCAATTATTATCTAAAATTTTAATTGAAATTAAATTTTACATCAATTTTTATTAGAAAATTCTACAAGAATTCAATTATTTAAATACAAAAATAAATAATGTATTCAATAATTGAATGTTTCTTAGAATTTAATTTTTACAAGGATAATTTTATTAACAACTTTTGAAAATAATTAATTTCTTTTGAGGAATTTAATTAAAATTTTACCAAAATTTGTTATATTAAAGAATTTTATAAGAGTTTTTGAAAATAATTGAAAAGTTTTTAAAGAATTTTATTAAAATTATTTTAAATAATTGAATTCTTGAGAAGAATTTTGATAATAATTTATGAAAGTAATTGAATTCATGCGAAGAATTTTGATTAAATTTCGTTTAAATCTTTAAATAATTGAAATTTTGCCAAGAATATTATTAAAATTTTTGACAATAATTTAATTTTTGAGAAGAATTTCGCTATCTATTTATAAAAATAATTTAATTCTTAATGTGAATTTTAAAAAAAGTTTAAAAATAATTTAATTTTTGCAAAGTATTTTATTGGTTTTCAAAAGAATTGAATTCTCATGATGAATTTTGATATTTATCGAAATAATTGAATTTTGGAAAAGAATTTTATTAAAATTCTTTAGAATAATTGATTTTTATGGGGAAAACTTTTTTGTTTATCAAGATACTTAAATTCTTTTGCAGAATTTATTTATAAAGATAATTGAATTCTTGACGAGATATTCGTTAAAATTTTTTTAAATAATTGAATTTCTTCGAAGAATTTTATTACTTTTGAGAATAATTGAATTTTGCAAAAATTTTTTTTTAATTCCTAAAAATAATTGAATTTCTGTAAAGAATTTTGTTATTTATCAAGATAATTGCGTTAAAACTTTTGAAATAATTAAATAATATTAAAAAATTCATTCTGATCAGAATTAGAAAAAATGTTGAAGGTTTTGTATTAAAATTCGTGGTAGTTTCATAGTTTATGAGTCAAACAAAAAAGACACAAAAAATTCAGAGATTTTAATTCAATAAATACACTTTTTAACTTTATAAAAATTTTAAATAAAAAATAAGGTTTTATATAAAGTTAAAGAGTGTATTTATTGAACTAAAAAAGATGCAGCTCAATATAATCCATAGGAATAGTAAAAAAAAATTCTAGAAAATAGCTTCATTTTCAAGCGTGTAATGTGCTATGAACCCTTAATTTCATTATTAATTTAAAAAAAATAACCTCTTTAGGAGAGACTCCATCCTCATTATCAGAAGAAGTATCATCAACATCCGCATCGTCATCCAATGATTCCTGATGAAATGCCGTGCAAGCAACATCGACAAGTTGCTTTGGATTCATATTATATAAAATTCTCTCGGCATTTTCACTGTCGCCACGACTCTCCATTATTGCAAGTAAAAGTTTACTGGCATTATTCTTTAATTCCAAAACAAGATCCATTCGTGTCTTGCCCAATGGATTGATATCGTTTAAAATCAATGCTGTGATAATATCCAGACCATTTGATTCGTGAGTTGCTATGCAATTTTGATTGTCGTGACACGGTCCCTGACAATATTCCGTTAATGTTTCAAGTGTCTGATTTATTAATGCGACATTATGCTCATTTATGTACAATCCCAAAAGACCCAAGCCACCAGTTGTCGAGCCGCAAATGCAATCCAAAAACATTAGAGACTCCGAGACAAGATTGAAATTCGTTTTGTTGTTCTGATTTCGCAGAAAGTTCTATTGAAATGGAAACAAGAAAAGTAAAAATTATTTATCGATGTGTGGAAATTAGAAAAAAATGAATTTTTAATAATTAATTAATTATTAATTAACTATAATAATAATCTTCGTATTTCATTCTTTAATTAATTCTGTCTGTCCATACTTAGAAGTTAGTTTTTGTGTATGCTTTTGTTTTTTTTTCTTTAAAAAATATTGTTTGACAAATCATATTCTTAATTACGATTGTTTTAATAAAATTCAAAGTTTTTTAGAAATAAAAGAAAAAAATGTTTATAAATTCTATTTTAATTTTTCAATCACAAATTCTCATTGAAAATTAAATTGAAAATTTTTGAATTTTTAGAAAATGAAGAAAAAAATTTTACTCAAAAAAATGTTCTGTTATATTTATTTCAATGTAAAATTATTCGAAAACATCAAAAACTTCTATTTTTAAATAAATATTTAATTATTATTATTTTTCCACAGGAATTAAAATATTCAAAAATTTAAAATTTAAACCTTTTTTAAATTAAAAAACTTATAATAATTAAAAATGCCCGAGTATTAAAATCATTATTTTATATTATAAGAATATTGTTAACTCTAACTTCTTCAAAATTGTTTTCATCATTTCAATTCAATTATTATTTTCTAGAATTTTTAATTCTTTTTTATGAAAATAATTGAATTCCTTAAAAAAAATTTTATTATTTATGAAAATAATTGAATTATTGCAAAGAAATTTTTAAAAAATTTGTAATTAATTGAATTCCTGTGAAATTTTTATTATTTATGAAAATAATTAAATGTTTGCATAAAATTTTATTAGATTTTGTTTTAAATTATTGAATTCTTTTTGGGAAATTTTATTAAAATAGTAGATATTGAAAATCATTGAAATTAGAAAAATGCATTTTATTTTTGAAAATAATTGAATTTAGGACAAGAATTTTATTGACATTTTTGAAAATAATTGAACTTTGGGGAAGAATTTTTTTATTTATAAAGATAATTGAGATTTTGGCGAGAATTTTTAAAAAATTTTGAACACAATTGAATTTTATTACTTTTGAAAATAATTGAATTTCTGCAATTTCTTTTAATTTTTGCAAAATTCATTTTTTTAGTGTTTTCAACAGAAATTTAAATTACAAATTTTTAAATTCTATTATTTTTAATGTCGCTAATTTTATTTAAAAAAGTAAGTAAGAAGTTAACGGCGCGCTTATTGTTGCTAGTTTTTAATAATTTTTGAAAAAGTTCTTTGAGAATTTGCAAATATCCCCTTAAGGACGGGAAGGACAGATTTTTTATCAAAGAGGTTTGTTAGGAATATAGATAGGAAATTGTTGAGAATTTGGAAAAATTCCCATATTTGGAAAATTTTGCATGTAACTTCCATGTAACTATAAATTATTTGAAAAAAATTAAATTAAACTTTTTCAAAAAAATTAATTCTTCAAAATTGCCACTGAAAATTATAGAAAATTCAAATATTCAAATATTTTAATTTGAAACCTTTTTAAAATTATTCAATTAATTAAATACAAAAGTAAATAATTTATATGTGTTGAATAATTGAATTCTTAAACAAATTTATTATTTATGAAATTAATTGAATTAATGCGAAGAAATTTATAAACAAATTTTTTAATAATTTAATTCTTGTGCAATTGTTATTATTTATGAAAGTAATTAAATGTTTGAGTACAATTTTATTAAAATTTTTTTTTAATAATTGAATTCTTTTGGGAAATTTATTAAAACAGTAGATATTGAAAATCACTGAAATGAGGAAATTTTTTGAAAATAATTGGATTTTGGAGAAGAATTTTGTTATTTATAAAGATAATTGTAACTTCTCCAAAATTCAATTTTTAAAAATGTTTTTAACTAAAATTTTCCATAAATCCAGTATTTTTAATAATTAATTAATTTTATACTTATTGACAAATTTAACTAATTTCAAGAAGAATTTGAATTATTAAAATTTTGCAAAAATCTAAGTACATATTTTAAAATTTCTAATTAAATTCATTAAAAATGGAAATTTTATAAAATTTCAAATTAAAACCTTTTGAAGTTCATTTATTTATGAATATTATAAACGCAACTGTTTTAAAATTGAATTAATTTTGAAATATTTAAGTAAAATTTTTATTAAATAATTTCTAAGTAATAATTTTATGATAGTTGTTCAAGAATTAGTTATTTAAGATGAAATTATTGTCAGAAATAAAAAAAAAATGAATTCGTGGTGATTTCATAGTTTATGAGGCAAACAGAAAAGATACCAAAATTCAGAGTTTTCTTACGAATTCTAAAAATTTAATTTTCTACAGTACTTTGTCTGACTTTTTCTTGAATCCCCGGTCTCAGAATACCAATACGATTATTGTGGTTATAATAGTAATAATCTATATTCCAATTCATATTTTATTTTTGAAAAAAAAACTGAAATAAAAATTTTTAAATTGTATTTTTTTTAATTCTTAATTTTATTGAAAAAAGTCTGCAAGTAGTTAGCCGCGGGAATTGTTGCTAGTAATTAATTAAAAAGATTAATAGTAATAATGTTAATATTAATGAAAGGTAAAGAAAAAAGTAAATAGAAAAATTGTCATTACCTGTAACTCACGATTGTGATTCTCACAGAGAAGTTGAAGAAATCGGAGAATTGGCTGCATAACCAAAACCTTGGTGCTCAGTTGGGCTTCGTCTTTCTCAACTCCAGCGCCCGTGTGTTTTTCCAATTTTTCCGCGAGCATATCCTCCAAAGCGCAGCCGAGAGCCGCATTATTCGATGCATCTTCGCCTGGTGTTAAATTTCGTATCGACGCATAAGCCTGAACTGTTGACGCCGCTGCTTGATTCAATTCTTCCCGCAACTCATCCGTTATTACAATTCCATTCGGTTTTCCTGAATGACAAACAAATTAATTTCAAACCTCAAAGAGAAAAATTCACAAAAATAAAACAAAAATGGAAGAAAATCATTCACAGTGTATTTTTTTGAAATTAAAATTAAGAAATCAAAATATTAAAGTATTAAAATCGTAAAAAGTATTAAAAATAAAACAAATTGAAATTAATTAAAATCAATTTAAACAAATTGAAATATTTAATTAAAATTAAAGAATAATTTAGAGAAAGGAAAATACAGAAATTATAAAACTAAAAATTCATCACACCTGGCTTTCGGGATATTTTTTCTAGTTCCTTACTCTGTTCCTTGTCCACGTGAGCTTTTGCTGCTAAATCGGATGTATTAACAGTGACCGTTGACTTGATTTCTTGCTGCGAGTCCTTCATTTTATCGTAAAAAACCTTACAAAAAAATATTTTTTTAAATAAAAAAAAATACAGATTTCAAATTTTTCTTACTCTTTTAGTTATTTTTTTCCTTTTTGCGCAAAAGAAATTAAAAGAACAGAGAATTTAGAATTTTACCTTGAAAAATGATTGACTTAAGTCAAGTGCCATTAGTTTGGAAAAAATACTCTTCTGAATAATTGGATTTCCCCCTTCTAATAGTGCAATTCCAAGTTCCACGACTTCGACGAATATACTTGGCGAGTGAACGCTTCTTATAACTAATTCCACAAGCAAATCCGATGCTCCTTCACGATCCAAATGACTTTGTACCTCGTGTAATGTTCTGCCAGCTCTGCTCAGAATTTTCGCTTTAAATCAAAGAAAACAAAGGAAAATTAAAATTACACCGAAAATTGAAGAAAAAAATACAAAAAAATATATTATTACTAATATTATTTAATATTTATTTTCACAACTAGACATTAATCTTATTTTCATTTTTAATTAGCTATTCAAAATTTTATATTTTATATTAATAAAAAACAAATTCTATTGATAAAAATACTATTGAAAAAAATTCTATTGGAAAAGAAATCTATTGGAAAAATTCTATTAAAAAACCTACATATTTTTTTAATTTATTTAAGGTTTCTTTTAACTGTTTATTTATAAAGAAATAAATACCTCCAGGTCCATGAGTCACGGAAACTGTACAAGAATTTTTAATTTCCATATTGTCAGGTTTTTGAGTAAATGCCTTGCCGAAGTATCTGCTGAGCAGGTTATTCCTGAGAACATCCCCCTAGAGAAAAAAATCGATCGTTATTATTAAAATACCAAAAAAAAAAAAATGAATTATATTAATTAATAAAAATTATTGTAGATATAAACATCTGCTATTTATGCTATTAAAAAATACGTTTCTCAAACTAAAATACGTTCGATGGAGTTTTATAAAAGAACAAATTTCAAATAATGCGCACATTTTAATAAATTAGATAATAAATTTCAATTTAAACAAAAATTTCTAAAACAACAAAAATTAAAAAGTCAATTCTAATTTGACAATCAGAAAAAAGCGGTAAAAAGACATGCGGGCAGAACTTAATATAAATTTCAAGCATTCTTTATAATATTGAATAAATTTTCGAATATAGGATGAAAATATATAATCTTTCATTACAAAATTAAAAATTGCAAGTCAAATAATACTAAACTTAATTTAAATTTCCAAAATCAAGAAAAATGATCCCAAAGTTCTGAACAAAATTTATTTACTTCTGCCTCAAATTCAATTTTTACAGGCCTCGGATATTATAACATTTTCGACTATTTTCAAAAAATGCGACTTTTTTCGACTTATTTTCAAAAATTACGACTTTTTCGACTTTTCTTCCGAATATTGCAATAATTTTTAGTATAAAATGCAACTTATTTTCGAAATTTACAATTGAAAAGAGTTTCAATAAATAAGTATTGAAATTTTGTAAAATTTAATTGAAAATAATTGATTTTTTTTAAAGTGATTTATACAAATTTTTGAAAATCAACATTTGAAGAATATTAATTGCAAATTTTGAAAATAATTGAAATTGAATTCCTCGGAAGAATTTAATTTAAAAAAAGAATTTAATATATTTCGAATAAATTCAATTATTCTCTAAAATTTTAATAAATCCTTCGAAACAATTCAATTATTTTTATAAATGCAAAATTCTTCGCAAGAATTCAATTATTTTTATAAACAGTAAAATTCTTTGCAGGAATTCAATTATTTTCAAAACATCTTAAATTGAATTTCTCGGAAGAATTAAAATATTTTCAAATATTTCCATAAAATTCAATTATTTCCTAAAACTTTTAATAATTTCTTCGAAATAATTCAACTATTTTTATAAATTTTCAAAATTTATAATAAAAAAAGTGTTTCAATAATGGAAATTTTGTAAAATTTAATTGATTTTTTTCAGAGTGTTTGATACAAATTTTTGAAAATAAACTTTAAAAGAATTTTAATTGATTGCAAATTTTGAAAATAATTGATTTCTCAAAAATTTTAATGAAAAATCTTCATGTGTAAATTTAAAAATGGTAATTAATGAGAATTAGCTTCAAAAAAATTATATTAAAATATTTTTGAAAAAAATAATTCTTAGAATTTTTTGCATTCTAATTTTTTAAAATTCAATTATTTTCATTATTTTCAAATACAAATTTCCAAAAATTCAAATACATACAAAAAATAATAACATTAAAATTTTTTACAATTAATTTTAACATTTTAACAACATATGACTTTTTTAGATTTATCAAAATTTTGGAGAAATCGCGTTTATATTAATAATTAAAATTCTTTAAAAATTCAATTATTTTTTAAATAGAATTCACCAAATTTCAATTGTTTGGAAATTTTTTAATTCTATATAATTGAAAAACTTTTATCCTTCATAAATTATTTTAAAACTATTTTTGAAAAATTAATTTTTAGAATTTCTTTATTATAATTTGTTGAAAATTAATTACATAATAACTTAAAAAACATGGACAGTTAGAATTAATAATAATAATAATAATATTAATATTAATAATATAATATTAATATAATATTAATTAATATTATAATAATAATATTTTTATAATGATAAAGAACTGAATTTTTGTATTTAAATAATTGGGTCCTTTGGACCCAAGGTCACAATATAAACAGATTTATTTAACAAAAATTAAGGTCCTGAAAACATTCTAAGTTGTATTTAAATAATTGAACTCTTTAAGAACTTTCGGAAAATTATTAAAAATAATTGGTTTCGAGAAGAAGTTTGATTAAAAATTGTAGAAAATAATTGAATTTTAAGAGAATTAAAGTTGTAATTTTTAGAAGTTATTAAATTTCAGAAGGTTTTAAATAGAAATTTTTTAAATTTTATTCCCGTATAAAAACAAACAAGAAGTATTTAAATATTTATTTAACGAAATTATTCAAGTTTTAAATATATTAAATTTATAATTCAGTGAAAGATCAGAAGAATAAAAAATAAAATTTTTGTGACGACACTGAATTGAATAAACGACTTTTTCGACATTTTTTCTATTTCAAATCGACTAAAGCGACTTTTTTTGCACCTTAAAGTCGATCCGAGGCCTGTTTTTATTTCAGTAATTTTGGGTCACTGTGAAAAAAATTAATTATCAAGTTTCTAAATGTAAACTTTAAGTTTTTGATTAAAATTTTAATTTTTTACAATCAGTTATTTATGAAAATATTTTTAATAATAATTTTTTTCATTAAAGGTTCAAAACTCGTGGATAGTACAAATTTCACTTGTATGTAAAAATAATAAATAACATAATTTATTTTCAAATAAATTACATTTATTATTAAATAAATTATATGTATTATTAAATAAATTATATTTACTATTAAATAAATTTTCTAATATTTACTAAAATAAATATAATTTATCAACAAGTAAATTATATAAATTTTACTGAAATATAACAAAAAATTGCAGGACGAAAAGTCGAATAAATCCACAACCGACAATAACAATAATAAAAAGGAATAAAATAGTAACTTAATTAACTAATAGTACTTAAATACTAAAATATTTAAAGAACAAATACTTAAATATTTTGATATTCGATAAATACTAAAAATGAACAAATGGAAAATAAAAATGCGTTGAAACTGAATCAAAAGAAAGAAGAAGGGAAAGACGTCGACTCCGACTTAGGAATTTATTTTACCCGCTGCTGTTGTGTCAATCGATGATTTTCAATTTGCTGCAAGGAACCCGGCGCAATTTCAGATTCGATCTCCTTGGGCGCTTCGATTTTATCAGCATTTTCCTGAATCTCCATTAGCAGCATGAAAACACTTGAAGCTAAAGAACTATGTCTACAAAAGCAACTCACCTGCTCAAGTAAAAACTTTATAATCTCCCCCAAAAAACAATTATCTCGAAAATTGTTCGTTTAGAGCAAAAAAAATTCTAAACACATATAATTATCATCGAAATTTCAAAAAGCAAGCAGTGAATAATTCTCTAATCGCATACCGATTCTCTAAATGTGCTGCAAAAAATATTAGAGCACTCGACATTCAAGAGATATTCTCAAAAGAATTATCTTCTTGAAGAATCAAAGATTGAAAAAATAATTCAATTAATAAATTATTAATTGAAAAATTTAAATTTAATTGTTAATTGAAAAAAATTGTACGTTAATGCGAATGCTCTTTATATTAGTAAATTGATGTAACTTTCTTGGTAAATTTTCTGTATCGTCGTGAATCATGTTAACTTACAAATTCATGCTTCGAAAAAAAAGAAAATGAATAGTTAATTTTAAATTCTCACCTTTTCTCCATATTCAGGATCAATTGCCATCATTTCTCGTAGAGTTCTCAAAACTTTGACGCACAATTTTTCCTCCTTTACTTCCAACAATTTCTCCGTGTGCTTTATCAGTCTAAAATAAAAATGAATAATATTCAACTGAACAGTGGTCATTATATTAGAAAAAATATATTTAAAAATTAATTCAAAATTAGTTCAAAATCAATTTAAAATTTAAAAACTACTTTAAATTTAAAATTATGTATTTTTAATATACTGAAATTTGTATTTTCAATATTAAAATAAAAGAAAGAATTTATTTTCTCACCGATGAATGAAGCCGCCGTTTTCACATTTTCTTCTGGCCTCGGTTGCCGAGGGAAAAAGTAACTCCGGTCGGTAGAGAATATCAACAAGCAGAGACAATTCCGATTGTACCAAAGGTTTTAATTGTTCCTCCAATAGAGAAACAATATCCTGTAGTCCCTCAATGATACTGCGATCTAATCTCATTAGCTGAAAAATGTAATTTTTTTATTAGTACATATTTCAAAAAGAATTTGGTTTCTTAAAGAAAAATTAATTTTAAATAATAAATTTCGTAATAAACTCACTTGACTGTGAGTACGTTCGACTTTCGGTTGTTTCGCAGCCTGAAGCCATTTACTCGTCTGTCTACTAAGCATCGCAGCTTTATTAAACATAGAAGCGACTTGACTCTCCAAATCCGTTGGTATTGCAATTCCTCTCGACTTGGCTGAAAAAATAAATAAATTAGAAAAATTTATCAATTTTAGTTTTATTTTATCTTCATTTTTATTCTCTTTATTCAAATCACAAATGACTCTTTCGATTCAAAATTTTATTTTTCAAATGCAAGAATCCTTTTGTTACTTTTATCTGTAAATAAAAAAATTTCTCTTAATGTTCTCCGGTAAAATTGTGATGCTAAAAAATTCGAAAGAGTTGAATTTAACAAAAAAAAACTACTAACCGACATCGGACAATGTTCTTATGCAATTTTCTACGCTGAAGCGTTGTCCTGCACTGAGCCACGTACATTGAGAAACTTTGAACGCAGCATGCAATAACTGGACGAATATTGGCTGTCGAGTCTGTATAGCAAAAAATTCATATAGCCTCTCATTGAACAAAAACGAAAAATTCAATAGCAGATGAAAAAAGTCAAATTTAATGAATAAATTTTAGTTTCAAAGAATTTAAGAAATTAAATTATTAAATAATTTAAAAAAATTAATTTCCATGCAATAATTAATTAATTGATTAATTAACATTGATCAATTTAATTATTATAAAGTAAAAATAAAGATTTTAATAAAAATACTACTTAATCAAAATAAAAATTATAGGCAATAAAAATACTGCTTAATCAAAATAAAAATTATAATAAATTCCTAGTAAAAATAAAAATTGTACGAAAAATACTACTTTGTAAAAATAAAATACTACTTAGTAAAAAAATGGTAATAAAAATATCACTGAATAAAAAAAATCGTAATAAATATACCACAGAATAAAAATAAAAATTGCAATTAAAATTCTACTTAACAAAAATAAATATACTAATCAATTAACAATAAATACAATAATTCAATAATTAGTCACTTTTCGTTAATTAATTAAATTTCCCTTTTTGTTAATATACACAAATTTTTTTTTACCGGTATTGAAGCCCTTTTTATTGGTGTGATCGGTGAAAAAGCGATGAATTGAGAAGAAAATAGTTTGAAAAGAAAGATTTTTATAATAGTAGAGAAAGAGAGAGAGAGAGAAAGAGAGAGAGAGATTTTTTTTGGAGAGAAAGAATCATGCAAGCATTCAAAGTGAGCATAATTTTCCGATCTTAGCACTTACACTATCTTCGCAATTATTATTACTGGTGCGGTCACACTCCTTTAGATTCCAGTATAGTCTTGCTTCGTGCAGGTGTTTCTATTAGTTTTTTTTAACCCATCACCAAACAGACCAGATCAGAAAGAAGACCAGTTGACACATGCCGAAAATACAGAACATGCCGCTTGTGCAAAATTAGCATTAATCAAGCCCGAAATCAAAACAACTTTTTTTGTTCTGTCCTCGTTAATTTTTTACCAGTTTTTAAAAAATGTTCAAACAAAATGAAAAGAAATGTTAAAAGAAAAATATCGAAATAAATGTTTAGAAAAATGTTCAAAAAAATGTTTAAAAAAATATTCGAAAAGTTTTAAAATAATGTTTCAAAAAATGTTTAAAAAGTGGTAAAAAATGTTTTAAAAAATGTTCGAAAAGTGTTACAAGAATTTTTTTTAATATTCGAAAAGTATTGAAAGAATGTTTTAAAAACTGTTTGAAAAAATGTTAAAAAAGTGTTTAAAAAATATTTAAATAGGTAAATGTTCCAAAAATGTTTTTAAGAATATGTAGAAAAAATTCTAATTTGAAACAAGAAAATATTTTCGTAAAACAAGAAGAAAAAAAATCAATATTTTATCTCTCTTCAACAATAAATCCAAATTGAGGAAAAAATTTCAAAAAGGAAATTTCAAATTTTTCCTTCAGCTAATTTTTATCTTAATATTTAGAATTTTTAATTTTAATTTGATCCTTAATATGTAATTCCAAATTTCAAATTTTTCTTTTCGTCTACATTTTATCAATATTTAGAAATTTAAATCATTTTACGATTTTATTTTTCCAAGGCAAAAAAAAAACTATTCTATTCTCCTATCTAAATTTTAATTGCTCTCTAAATCTAGCTTCTCTAAATTTTCAAAAAAAAAACTACTCCTCAAGTCCTAAAATTCTCTTTATAAAAAAAAAAATTACCTCCATTTGGTTGCACTTTCAAAAGCAGAATGCAAAATAAATTAATTTTGTTAATGCACACAGCAAATTTTCATCTTCTAAATAGAAAATCAAATGTTATTCCATAAATGTCGAGCATGTGTTGTTTTTTCAGTTTCAAATAAAAACGTGTGTTTATTTGATGCCCATAAATTTGAAAAAACAACTAGTAGTGCAAAGAATGCGAAGTGAAAAAAATTGTTTTCTCGTTCTCAAGACAATTTCTTTCCCTTTCAAGCAAATTTTGAAAGAAAAAATAAAAGAAAGAAATATCAAAAATTTTTCGCAAGCTCAAAAAGAAAAAAACAATTTTAAATTTTCAGTGGCACACGTGTCAAATATGTTTCTTTCTGTGAATATTTGTTGCTGACATCAAACGTAGTATGCAGAGAATTATTTTTGAAATTCATTATTTAAAAAAAAGGAAATAACCAGGAAAAAAAGTGAGAAAAATTCAATTTTTCCCAAAGAGAAAATTTAAAAAAAAAAGAAAGAAAAATGAATATTTTACCTGAACTGTTGTACTTTGATCGGAGAATGGACTGCTGAAAAATGTTGTGATAATGTTCATTAAACAATTTGTCACATAATTTTCCAGAACAGTATCGGCATGACTTCGATCGTGTGTGGCGTTCGCTATCAGACCCATGTCGACAATGAACGATTTTTCAAATAGTGACCACATATGATTTGACGTGTAAATCTCCTTCATTTCCACTTCCGTGTCAATGTAGCAATGATTGAGAAAGTTGATATAAGCCTCCTTTACCTATTCAACAAGATTTTTTTTAATAATAATAATAATAATAATAATGTTAATAATAATTAATTAATTAATAATTTAGTAATTCAAGTCTCGAATTTAAGCAGATTTCTAAATTCAATTATTCAAAACTTCAATAATTTTCTTAAATTAATGTTTAAACACTTGCTATTTGTTTTTCAACGTGAATTTAAAATAATATTTGACGAACAAATTTAATTTTTCTAAATTTCAATTTCAAACTTTCTGAAATTTAATTATTTCTAAAAATTACAACTGTAATCATTCAAAATTTAATTATGTTCTAAAATTTTTAACTAAATTTCTTCTCTAAATCAACTAGGTATTTTTAACAATTTTCCGAAAGTTCTTCAAGAATTTAATTATTTCAATAAAAAAATTCAATTTTTTATAATAATTGTAACATTAACTCTTTCTGATTCTTTTTAAATGTTATTAAAGGCGAATTATTGAAAATAATTGGGCAATAATATTGAAAAAAATTGAATTTTTCAAAAAAAATTTTAGAAAATAAAAAAAAATAAACATTTTTTATTTTAATTTAAAAAAAAAAGGTAGAAAATTTTAAGAATTAGTTTTTTTTATAAATATTGTAATGTCATTTTTCGAAATTAATTGAGTTCGTTCAAAAAATTTCGTAAAATTTAAAAACAAATTCATCAATTTTTTTAAAGAATTGAAATTAAAAATTTTTGAAAATAATTGGGCAATAATATTGAAAAAAATTGAATTTTTCAAAAAAATTTTTAGAAAATAAAAAAAAATAAAAATTTTTTATTTTAATTTAAAAAAAAAAGGTAGAAAATTTTAAGAATTAGTTTTTTTTATAAATATTGTAATGTCATTTTTCGAAATTAATTGAGTTCGTTCAAAAAATTTCGTAAAATTTAAAAACAAATTCATCAATTTTTTTAAAGAATTGAAATTAAAAATTTTTGAAAATAATTGTTTCTCCAACATTTTAGTAAGAATTCTAAAAAATTAGATTTTTTAAAAAATATTTTATATAATTTTTTTAATCTTATGCTCATTAATTTCTTTTATACAAATTTTCATTTGGAGATTTTTCATTAAAATTTTTGAGAATTGAATGATTTTCAAAATTTGCAATTATAATTCTTCAAAATTATATTTCTGAAAAATTTAGAATTTTAAAAATCTTAATGTAAACAATTCTTTTATAAACTATTTTATACAACTTTTTGTCTTTAATTCTCATTAATTTCTTTCATACAAATTTTCATTTGAAGATTTTTCATTGCAGTTCTTGAGAATATTCAATAAATAACAAAATTTGGAAATAAAATTCTTCAAATAAATTGATTTTCTAAAATTTTAATTAAAATACTTGAAAAAAATTTATTATTTTCAATAAAATTTTACAAAAAGTTCAATTAGTTAAAAACATTTGAATTATACATTTCAAAAAAATTATTTTAAAAAATAATTATTCACAAACTTTACTATTGTTACTTGAAAAATTTGTATTTTTTTGAAATAAATCGATAAAAGTAATAAAAAAAAAAATTAATACAGAAAATAATTAATCAAACCTCTGGAGTGCAATCGGGATGGGAAACCATGGCAACTATATCGTCTAATGGCAAAAGGCTGTGACACTTGATTTCCGTATTGACATTCTTGCCCATTGTACAGCAAGCCAATAGTTTCACAAGTTCGACATGATATCGTAATGGACTGCTTTCCTCCGTTCTGTGTCTCTCTGATCGCATCATCTCGACAAATTGATTGAATGACGCTCTATCATTGTAGAAAACCAAAACATCCTCTCCAGATTGCACCATCTGAAAAATTACCCCAAAATATTATTTTAATTGAAAGAAAATTCTCAATCAAGCAAATAATTCAACACGTAATTATTTTAAACCAATTTTAAAACCATTTGCAAATTATTTTAAACTATTTAAAAATATTTCAATCGAAAGAAAATTTCCAATCAAATATTAAATCTATTAAAACTATTTTTGAACAATTAAAAAGAAAATTTAAACAAACCTCTTGCATAACCAATTCCTGACACTTGCGAATAAATTGATTCTCCGCTTTAACAATTGTTTGAAGAAATTTCAAGTACTGAACATGTTTTCCATGCGTCTCGATGCAATGAACAAAATGCTGTATCACTTTTGGATTGACTTCATTGCACAAAGTTGAATTATCTTGAAAAATACTGCAAACAGTTTGCGCCTCACGAATACCGGGATTTAAAAATAAATCCAATTGTTTATGCAATAAAACTTGATTTTGTTGATTTCCTAGACAGAAATTTTGCAGGAAATCATGCGCCAAACGCATTAATTCATTCATTCGTACATCTTCCTTTGCATCAAATGGCACTTGCAGTAAATCCAATACAATAATATGAACGCCAACATTTCTCAATAATCGTTGTTCATGTTTTCGCGGTATCGCTTGACCATTCGGCAATGTTTGAATGCAAAGTTTATTCATTCTCATTAAAATTCGTTGAATCTTTTTATATTCCTCGGCTTGATCGGCGTGCAATGGTGGTCCAATGTCCAAATCAATTGCTGATCCTGAAAAACACCAAATTTATTCTAATTTTTTATTGTGATTTTCATTTTTGTCTGTTTTTCTTTTTCTAAATATTTTTCATACTTTTGTAATATTTTCTTTAGTTTCGTAATATTTTTCATTATAGTTTGTAAAATTCGATTATTACTGATAAAATGAATATTTTCTTTTATTAATAGAATGGATTAAAAATAAAAATATTTATCAATATAGGAGTATAATTAGAACCTTTTTTCTCCAGAGAAGAGAGCTGAGGAGGAGTCTTCCTCGGAGCCGTGTTCTCGTCTTCATCTTCTTTGCTCTTCTTCTTTTTCGCCTCATGCTCCTCGGTTGCTCTCGATTTATAAACCCAGAGTTCCGATTTTTCCACCGATTGCCGAAGAACATCGAGATCTGCTTTTATTTGCTTGTAAGATTCGACGTCACTGTCCGAGACTAAAAGTTGCACCTTTAACAAAACAAAAATTTAATTAGACTTTTCATCAATTAATTGATTAAACTGAAAATTATGTAATTAATTCCTAAAAATAAAACTTCCTTATTTGTATTTATGAAAAGAAGGTTTGAGACCATTCTAATTTTTCAGGATACAAATATTTTCTATTTTAGAGATAAATTCTCAACAAAAGCTCTTTAAAAAAAAATGCATTCATTTGATAATCAAAAATATTTTTCAATTTTTTCGTATTTTTTTGTTTCGTATTCTTATTCATCAATAAAAGTGAAAATATTTAAATGAACTGAAATTACCTGTTTAAAGGCTTGTAAAACTTCCTGCCTTTGACTGAAATGTCGAAAGAGAAGATGCAAGGCTCCAGAAACAAGGGGCGGATAATCGTGCATAGCCAAATGAAGCAAAACTCTCAAAAATGTTTTTCCACCTTGACCATCCAAGTCCAAAGCGACACATTCCTCACTTCAATTAAAATGAAATTTTTAAGTACTTTTCTTTCAAATTACAATCTATTTTGATTTTAAAATATTTAAATTACACAATGAACTCTAGTAGAACTAAATTTTAAGTTTTAAAATTAAATCAAAATTGCTCTTTAAAACGGTTTTCAGAGAGCAAAAATCTATGTAAAAAAAAAATAAAAAAACTTACCTACTCCCGAAAATACCTTCTGCCTGTGTGCCAACTAATTCCAAATCGATACCCTTCTGTCCGAGATTCATATCACCTGAAGTTTTCTCAGTCTCATCGAATTCTTGTTTAAAAATACTGAGCAGACACGATATTCGAAAATCCAATCTCACGTCAAGTATAAATTGTAGAATTTCGATAATTTTCAATTTTGTGTCCATCACGAGAGGATATTCCTTTTTCGCCGATGGATTTGGTTTTTGAGAGGAATTTCCAGCGAGAACTTGACCCGCTGGTCCTAATGTTAGATTTGTCATTACTGCTCCCATATCGCCGATGCATCTCAGAACACCGCCTTCGGCTGAAAGATAAAAACAAAATTATTTCAATTTTTCAATATTTAAATAAAAATAAAAATCGAAAATATTGATATTATTGTTTACGATCCTCCAGGGAATTATTGTTACGTTCCTAATAGTATAGAAACTTATTCGAAATGTATTTACAGCTTTTTACAAAAAAACATGCATTACTATTTAATAATACAAAAGAACTTATTTTTCTACTAAACACAATTTTAAATAATTACAATTTTACCTGTTTCCTCAGATTCCACGCTTTCGGCTATGAAACATTCAGTTTGTAATTATTTTTACATTTTGCAATTTAATTAACATTTATCAATCAAACAAGAAGAATTAATTTTCAAATTTTTTTCTTTCTAAGAATTAATTATTTTATTGCTGGAAATTAAGAAGCGTCATGCAAATAGTTATTAACAATCTTCTTGAAAAAATTGCAGAAATTTACATGTTTATTTACAAAAAATTATCTATAGATAGAAATAAAGTAAAAAAATATAAATAAACTTAAACAATAATTTTCCATAAATAAAAATAAACAAGTTGAAAGAAAAATAATATAAATCGAAACAAGTAAAAAGAAAAATAATAAAATTAAAAATAAATAAAAAAAAATAATAATTAATAAAATAATCGTCTTCCCATAAAAAAAATATTTAAAGAATGTATTAAATATTACAAATTTGTATTTATAGTAAATTCAGGCCTCAGTTCGACTTTAAGGTGCAAAAAAAGTTGTTTTAGTCGATTTAAAATAGAAAAAAAGTCGAAAAAGTCGTTTATATAATTCAGTGTCGTCACAAAATTTTAATTTTTATTATTCTTCTGATCTTTCACTGATTTCTAAATTTAATTATTTAAAACTTAAATAATTTCATTAAATAAATATTTAAATACTTCTTGTTTGTTTTTATACGGGAATAAAATTTAAAAAATTTCTATTTAAAACCTTCTGAACTTTAATAACTTCTAAAAAATTACAATCTTAATTCTCTTAAAATTCAATTATTTTCTACAATTTTTAATCAAACTTCTTCTCGAAATCAATTATTTTTAATAATTTTCCGAAAGTTCTTAAAGGATTCAATTATTTAAATACAACTTAGAATGTTTCCAGGACCTTAATTTTTGTTAAATAAATCTGTTTATTTATTATAATATATTATTATATTTATTATTTAAAATATTTTAAAAATAATTTATGAAAGATAATAGTTTTTCAATTATATAGAATTGAAAAATTTCCAAACAATTGAAATTTGGTGAATTCTATTTAAAAAATAATTAAATTTTTAAAGAATTTTAATTATTAATATAAACGCGATTTCTCCAAAATTTTAATAAATCTAAAAAAGTCTTATGTTGTTAAAATGTAAAAAATAATTGTAAAAAATTTTAACGTTATTATTTTTTGTATGTATTTGAATTTTTGGAAATTTGTATTTAAAAATATTGAAAATAATTGAATTTTAAAAAATTAGAATGCAAAAATTCTAAGAATTATTATTTTCAAAAATATTTTAATATAATTTTTTTGTAGCTAATTTTCATTAATTACCATTTTTAAATTTACACTTGAAGATTTTTCATTAAAATTTTTGAGAAATCAATTATTTTCAAAATTTACAATTAAAATTCTTTTAAAGTTTATTTTCAAAAATTTTTATCAACAACTTTGAAAAAAATTAATTATTTTTAATTTAATTTTACAAAATTTCAATTATTTATACTCTGTTTTATTGTAAATTTTAAAAATTTATTTAGTATTTAATATTTATAAAAATAGTTGAATTGTTTCGAAGAAACATTAAAAAAAAAATTTATTAACATTATTAAAATTTTAGGAAATAATTGAATTTTATGTAAATATTTGTAAATATTTGAATTCTTCCGAGAAATTCAATTCAAAATGTTTTGAAAATAATTGAATTCCTGGAAAGAATTTTGCTATTTATAAAAATAATTGAATTCTTGCGAAGAATTTTACCATTTATAAGAATAATTGAATTGTTTCGAAGGATTTATTAAGATTTTAGAAAATAACTGAATTTATTCGAAATGTATTGAAAATATTTTTAAAAATTAAATTCTTCCGAGGAATTCAATTTCACGTATTTTAAAAATGTTCAATTAAAATTCTTCAAAAGTTGATTTTCAAAAATTTTTATAAAATACTTTAAAAAAATCAATTATTTTTAATTAAATTTTACAAAATTTCAATTTTTATTGACACTCTTCTCAATTGTAAATTTCGAAAATTTAATTCGAGAAATTATTAAAAAAAATTTTTTTTGAAGATGTCTATAGTTATTTTTCACACTATTTATAAAAATCGAAATAAGTTGCATTTTATACTAAAAATTATTGCAATATGTGGAAGAAAAGTCGAAAAAGTCGTAGTTTTTGAAAATAAGTCGAAAATGTTATAATATCCGAGGCCTGTAAATTGTAAAAATATAGAAAATAAATTTCAATTTGATTGAAAATAATATAGTAATGAAAAGTAATGATATTCTATGAAAAAATTTTTCAACTCAAAGTAAATTATTTCCTATTCTTCATTGTTGCTTTTTTTTGTAAATTAGGAAAATATACTTACAATCAATTTCTCCAGTGGGTATTTTTCCATTTGAGCAATCGTTTTCAGACACGCAATCGAGAATATTTAGGAGAGTTTTTGTTAGAGTAAGTAAATCGCTGAAGCCATAGAATCCAAAGTAAATTAGATCGCGGGCAAGTTTAACAACCTGAAAGAATAATAGAACTTTCATTCGAAAAGAAAAAGAAAATAAAAAAAATTCCGTATATTTATATTCGATAAAAATTTACCTCAAATGTAAGTTTATTTTGCTCCTGATCAGCGAACGACCAAACCTTCGCCACAACATTACACAAATAATCTTCCACGAACATTATTGTTGAACTGAATCTCGCTCTCACAGCTTCTTTATTTTCATCCGGCATTTTATTTGTATCGTAACTGAAAAAACAGCCAATTTTTTTTTTATTTTCAATGCCGACAATTATAATTTTTAAAGAGACATCAAAAAGAAAACTAATCTATTTATTGTACTTTTTCGTTTTTCTCAGAGTAAAAAAATTCGAAATAAAAACAAAACAATAAAAATATATAAATGGAGAAATGAAAATAAATAAATAGAAAAATAAAAATATACAAGAAGAGAAAAAATTAACAATAAATAATAATAAAAAAATTGTACTAATAATAGAAAAAGAAAAGAAAATATTTACATTATTTACATACTCATTAATGCTCATTTTCGAAGGAATCTCAGACCAAAGACGAGCGTATTTCACTGGCGTGACTTGTTCCTGTGGATCTCTGTCCACGTGTAAATGAAGCATTAATCGACAAAATGAAGCTCGCAATTCGTACGAAACAGTTTCGTCTTCCATGCATCTAGAAAAGAAAAAGAATAAAAATAGAAAAATGATATTTCTTCCCACAAAAGAAATTTTCTCATTTCACATGTTTCTCTTTTTTTTTAAACCAAACAAAAAAACATGAAATTCACATTTACTTGAGTATTAAATCAATATCTAAATGGGGTGAGAGATTATTCAGCGCCAAATATTGTCTATTCAGACACATATTGCTAAATAAATTCAATTGATGTCTATAATAATCCAAAATCGCTGCGTCTTCAATATTTCCCAATTTCGCGCCACGTGACAATTCACTCAGAGGCAATGTTTTCTGAAAAACCATTTATTAATTCATGTCGGAAAATTAGAATTTTCCAAAATTGGATAGAAAAAAATAGACGGATTATTCAATCAAAATATATAGAATAGTAAATAAAAATGTATAGAAAACTAAATAAAATAGAAAACTAAATAAATAGTAGAAAATTAAATAAAAAATAAAAAACTAAATAAAAAGTAGTAGAAAACTGAATAAGAAATAGAATAGGAATTTCAAATATAAATATAGAATTCCAAATAGAAATATAAATATTCGATAAAAAAAAATAATACTAAGAGGAAGAAGAAATAATTTTTCAAAATGTTAAATATAGTGAAAAGAAAAAGAAAAGTTGCGACAAACCGTTCCATTATTCCAAACGAGCATAACTTCAAGTTCCTCGATGATGGATATCTGTGGTTCCTCGTTTTCTTGCCTCTCGTCAATGTCCACGACTTCCACCGGATTTCTGACCATCCTACGAAAATTTGTTAGCAACAATAGACGAAAATCGCTAACTTTTTGACGTTATCAAAATTTTACCTAGTCTCTATTAAAATGTCTTTATTCTTTTCGCTAAGAACACTTTTGCAGATCAATTCTTGAGTAACGGCAATGGCCTTCTTATTGGAGATACATAAATCAGAGAGATAATCTAAAAATCTTGATTCCCAAGTATACATATTCTTCCTCACAAGTCCAACGAAAGTCTCAATTTCAGCGGCCGTTATATGCTTTTCCAATAGTTTCCGATTATTATGCAGCAATGCCGTTATTGTATCTTCCGCCAAAATATCGTAACCAATTTGCTTTTGCATAAATGCAAAATGCTTCGCTATGTACTCCTGTAAAGAAACGAAAATTTAAATAAATAAAATTAATTAAATTAAATGTAAATAAAATAGAAAACAAATATTAAAATATTTTTTTTTCTGTTTCTAAAAAAGAATTTAGAATATTTTTTTTCATTTCAAGCTTCATTATATTATATTACATATTGTAATTAAATAATTAATGCAAGTTATAGTTAGTATTTTTACTACAGATATTTTGTTTTCCAAAGAATTATAATTTATATCAATATAAATGCTATTTAAAATGAGACCATTTAGTAAAATTATTAGAATTTTAAACAAAATTTTAGAAGTTGTTTAACTTTACAGGGTTGCCACGCTCTTGCTCATTTCAAATTCCCTGACTATTCCAGGTTTTCCAGGTTAAAAAAATTACATTTGTTGACAAGAAAAATTTAATTTTGTTTTTCCCTGACTTTCCCTTGAATTTCAGATAAAATTCTTACTTCTTCTTGACTTAAAGAATATTCTCATTCAGTTTAAAAATTATTACTCAGAAAAATGATCTATAGCTTCTTTTTTTAAATAAATATTTAATCATTATTATTTTTTCATAACAATTAAGATTTTTAAAAATTTCTAATTCATTTTTTTTTGAAATTAAACAATTTAAAAAAAATTGTTTGTTATAAAACATGAAGAAATCGATCACTCCGAGTCTTTGACTCGGAGCAATCGATTTCTTCTTGTTTTATAATAAAAATTAAAGAAGACCGACTGATAAAATCATTATTTTATATTGAAAGAATATTGTTACTGTAACTTCATAAAAATTATTCTCACTTCAATTCAATTATTGTTTTCCAGAACTTTAAACTAAAATTGTTCTTTAAATTAATTATTTTTAATAATTTTCGAAAAATTTCTTTGAAAATTTTCAAATTCTTTTCTTTACAATTCAATTTTACGAAATTTAATCGATTATTCGAAAATTCTTCAATTAAATATATATTAGAGAATAAAAACTTCAAATAATTTCAAAAAAGTCCCATATTAAACTTTTTTAAAAAATTTAAACGTACACAATTTCCAGTTAAAAGTATGAAACATTCAAAAATTATAATTCGAAACCTTTTTAAAATTCAATTATTTCTAAAAATTCACGCTAGACCACTTTCTCTCTAAATTGAAATTATTTCATTTTTCGAGAAATTAGATTAAAATTGTATTAAAAATAATTGAATCTCTGTAAAATATTTGATTGAATTGAGAAAAGTTTTTGAAAATAATTGAAATTTTGCAAAGAATTTTATTAAAATTTGTAAAGATAACTGAATTTCTACGAAGAATTTTATTATTTATGAAGATAATTGAGATTTTGACAAGAATTTTTTTAAACTTTTGACCATAATTGAATTTCTACGAAGAATTTTATTATACTTTTGAAAATAATTGAATTCTTGAGACGAATTTTAATAATATATTTCTTTTTAAAATAATTGAATTCTTTTGTGAAATTTTATTAAAATAGTAGACATTAAAAATAATTGAATTTTGATAAATTATTTTGAAAAAAAATAAAATGTTAAAAAGAATTTTATTAAAATTTTTGAAAATAATTTAATTCTATTTTCAATTTCATTCAAATTTCATTCAAATTTAATTAAAAATGTATTGACAATAATTAAATTCTAATAAATAAATTATAGGAAGGCATTTTAATTTGATAGAATTTCTTTGATAAATTTTAATAAAATTTTTAAGAATAATTACATTTTTCGAGAAATTCCATTAAGAATTGTATTAAAAATAATTGAAATTCTACGATGAGTTGTATTACTTATAAAAAAAAAACATATAGGGTAAATGCACTAGTAGTCGGACACTTAAGGATACAATCTTAAATTATGCTTTTTTTTTGAAATAGCAAATATCTACTGTGTTTATAAGCACATTATTAATTAAAGGAGTTCTTCAGGATTAAAAATCATATAAATTTGTTACAAATAGTTGAGTATTTAATAAAATATAAACATTTTAATAAAAAATTACGAATGCTTTAGTAGTCGGACACTTTTTCCCCTTGTTTCTATAGTCGGACATCTGTCAAATATTTTGAATTTATAAAGTAAAAAAGATAATTTTTTAATTGCTATCTGCTGGAAAATGGAATTAAAGCATATTAGAAGTTATTAATATAATATTTAAACCCTATAAGTTTTAATATTTATGATTAATTATCAACAAAACTTTGTGCCACTCATCGCGCTACTCGAAAATGGTTGTATCTATAGTCGGACACCATGATTTTTAAAACATTAAATAAAATATTTCTTGTTTAATTATTTTCGAAAATAACACTATTCTAATAAAATATAAACTTCACACATTCGTCTAGTATACTTTTTAAAGTAATTATCACAATGCATTATTATTTATTTGCCAAAAAACACGAAAGTGTCCGACTACTAGTACTGTCCGACTATACCCGCACTTACCCTATAGAATTTTATTATTTATGAATATAATTGAATTTTCGGTAAAAAATGTTATTTTTTATGAAAATAATTGAAATACGAAGAAATTTATAGAAAATTTGTAAATAATAGAATTCCTGCGAAATTTTTATTTCATTCATTCAAAATTAAAAATTTCCAAAATTTCAAATTAAAAAATTTTGAAGTTTATCTATTTATGAAAATTGTAAACGTGACTCTTTTAAAATTGAATTAATTTTGAAATATTTGAGTGAAATTAGATTTCAAGAATAAGCACAATAACTTTAAAAAACAATAATTTTCCAGGATTCTGATAAAAATTCCCTGACTTTTCCAGGTTTTCAAGGTTTCCAGGTTGCGTGGCAACCTTGACTTTATCATTTTTCAATTAATTTAATTTGTTGCATTTATTTTAGTTTTAAAAGATACGGAATTCTTTGTTTAAAAAGCTGAATGTATAATTATTTTTTAATTTTTTAGAATAATTAAAATTTTCGTAATCATGATTATTTTTAATTTTAAAATTATTTGGAGAATAAAAGTATGAAATATGTACCAATTTTTGCGAAATAATAGTAATTTAACAAAATTTATCCGATTCTCTTGAAATTCGTTTCTAATTACGAATTGACGTAAAATTTTAGAAATTCGAAATAGAGCCTCCGTTTGTTTGACTTTCTTCTAATTTATCAGATTCAGTGATTTTTGGAGTTAATTTGGTAAAGTTGAATTCGTTACTTTGAATTTAGAAAATCTGATGTCAATTTAATTCTTTTTTTCGTTATGCACGGAAAAAAATATTCACCTGGAAAAACTACAAATTTCACTGTATTAGCGAAATTTTTCAGTTGCTTTCGCTATTCTAGAGAAACTTATCGTTGTTTCAAATGAAACTTCTTTTCCGTGTGTAATAATTATTATTTCTTTAAAAATTATATAAATTAAAATCACTTCAAATTGTTAAGAATAAGCAATGCAATACAACATTCCCACGCGAATAGTTTGTCTAGTAAAATTATAATAATCAGCAATCTATTTATAATAAAGTTAAGAATAAAGAATCTTTTTTTCATTTTTTTTTCAAATTATACCTGATTTTTTCGGTAATCCTGCTGCGAGAGTCTGAGTATTCGATAGCACAATCGAAACATGTATTTGTAAGGAGCATGCCTTGGATCATTGAGTTCCTCTATCCTAAGAAATGGTCCCTCACCTTCCGCCGATTCCAGAAAAGGCGCCTAAAAAAAATTACAATGAAATTTTATTCTTTAATTTTATATAAAAAAAAAAATATTTTCCATAGAAAATAATATAAATATCCATCCAACTAAAAATAATAATTAATAATTAATTTATATTAATAAAATTAGCGCAATTACCTGAAGAATTTTGAATAATTGTCCAAGGATATATTGTTCGCGGAGTAATTTTTGTCTATCTCTAACAGTATTCGTGACAGTCAGATCAAGAGCTTCAGACTTATTTTGCTCATTTTCTAATCCGGCTATAAAATAAACAATGTCTTGCAATAAACTCGTAACCGATCGTCTTTCATTGTGCGAAATTGTTCCCTTTTCCAATTTACTACTAATCGATGCCAACACTTTACACGCGTCATTCGCAAAATCCAAATCGCGAACTTCAACCGGCGAGACGGATCTCAGTGCAAATGCCTCCTTGTCCTCTTTACTCATCGCACAGCCCACCTGTAATTAATTTCGAATCAAAATAATAATAATTTAAATTTAAATAATTAATTACCATTTTTTAAACAAATACTTTATCGTTAATAATCATACATTGCAGAAAATTTAATTTTTCACTAATTTATTGAAAATAAATGAAGTGAATTGAATAATTAACTTTTCTGTGAAAAAAAATAAAAAATACGAACCTTGGACATTACGGGCTTCTCATCGTCTTTATCTATCGGTACACTCGTCGAATGTACCCAAGTATTTGTACAAATGTGGTGCAGTCTTACAAATGATGACTGAGGCACTAAACTATCACCCCTTGTTAATGTCGTGGGATCTAATTCGAACAGAGAACTAATTTCATTGCTGTGTGGAACTGAAACTAATCTGTACACTGGCCCAGGATCTATTGGCAAAAAAAATTAAATCGATTTATTTTCTTCTACATTTTCAAGAAATCAAAACATAAATAGAGAAAGTATTAAAAAAAGCAATTATAAAAATAAAAAGTTGTAAAAAATACAATAGAAATAAAAAGCAAAAATAGTTAAATAAAAAGCAATAATAGAAATAAAAGGTAATTATATAAATAAAAAGCAGTAATAGAAATAAAAAACAATTATAAAAATAGAAATCCAAAAAAATAAATAAAAAATAATAATAGAAATAAAAATAGTAAAAAATAGCAATAATGAATATTTAAAAAATAAAACCATTTTAACTTAATTTTTATGATTGAATAAAAAAAATCGTAATTATTTACGTAAATTAAAAAAAATAAAAGTATTTGTATTATTATTAACATAAAGTGACAGGATTTTCTACTAATTTCCGTTTTAGTGAAAAATAATATCGCTTCCGCTAAAATAATCACCTCTTTTTCCTTTCGTAGTTTCAACAGGTTCGTCCGTATCAATTTCCGCTGCGAGATACTGACCCGTTGCTAAATGTTTGAACCTAAACAGTGAATTCCAATGACCCGCACCGCCTCGGCATGGATCGTGTTGGACCACCTGAAAAACAGCGAGAATCGTGTAAATAAATCAAAAAAGCAAAATTCAAAAAGGCCAAAAATTAATACGAGAAATGCAAAAAAATAAATACAAAATCAAAATGCAAACAAAAAATATATAAAAACAAAATACAAAAGAATATAAAAACAAGAAGGGAAAAAAACAAAGTGCAAAAAATAAAAAAAACAAAATATTTAAAAAAATATAAAAACAATAAAATATGAAGAAATGGACAAAAAAAGACAAAGGTACAAGAAGAATCAAATACAAAAAATAAATATATAAAAATAACAGAATAAAATACATATGAAAACAAAATACAAAAGACATAAGAACAACAGAATGCGAAGAAGACAAATATGAAATGCGAGCAAAATACAAGAGAAAATAAAAACAAAAAACCGCTGCCAAGTTGTATATTTTTTTTATAATTTTGGTGCTCATTTCATGAACACTTTACTTCCACATAGAGATAATAATAGTAATAGGAAAATAATATATATGAATAACTTTTTATAAATATGGTAAAAGTGATTGAATCTTGGGTCAATCAATGTATTTTTAAATACTCTACAATATAGTTATAATAGTTTAATAGTTAAACAAAAGTTTTCAAACAAAAAAGTTGAGAAAATGTCATTTTTCACAATTTTTGGATTTTAAAATACCAATAATTTAGAAATTTATTATCGAATTAGGTTCCAAAATAGGTCAATCGAAGCGTTTTTTAATGCTCTACAAGTCGGTAACGATAATTTTAAGATTACTTCTACATTTTTCAACAAAATTTTCAAAAAAGTCTTATTTTCCAAAATTTTTAATTTTTAAAAGTTTAATATCTCCGGTTAATATGGACGAAAAATGTTTAATTAGAGCTCAAAAGATGCGTCTAAAAAAACTCTACAAAATTATGGAAAAACATTTATAGGTGTCCTAACATTTTTTTAAAGTTATGGGCAAAAAACGTTTTTTTGCAAAATTAAAAATCCAAAAAAAATTTAGTTAAACTTTATTAATCTATCTCAAAGTACTCTCATTTTATGTCCGCAGGTGAGATCTACAATTTAAAAAAAAATTCAACCCAAAAGCTCTTGAGACGCATGAATATTTCCCAAATGACAAGTAACAGAACTGTCATTTAACCGAAATGCATGTAACCGACCTGTCATGTAACAGAATTGTCATTTGACCGACCCGTCATTTAACCGACTTGCCATTGGACCGACCCGTCATGTAACCGAATTGTCATTTAACCGACCTGTCATGTAACAGAATCAGGGTTGCTACAGAAGTCTGTTTTTAAATTTCCATGACTTTTCCAGGTTCTCCAGTACCAAATCTGATAAATTTTCAGGTCACCTTTTGAACATTATAAATTAGAGCAATTTTTGAAGAAAAATTGGCCTAATAATAATAAATTAGAATTTTTCTGTATTATAAAAATATTCACGTTAGATTATCGCTATTTGATTATTAAAGCACAGACAGGGTGTCTACTGAAAATATGACTTAAAATTCCAGGACATTCCAGGACAGATTTTTTATTTTTCCAGGACATTTACATGTGTAATATTATTTCATATTACGATTAACATAATTTAAATTAACCTACTTGAACAAAAATATTTATTTTATTTTTAAAAAATTCCAGGCATTTCAAATTTTAATGACATTTCCAGGTATTCCAGACCTTTTTTTAAAAAATCCCTGACTTTTCCAGGTTTTCCAGGTTTTCCAGGTTCTGTAGCAACCCTGAGAATTGTCATTTATCCGACCCGTCATTTAACCGACTTGTCATTTGACCGACCTGCCATGTAACAGAATTGTCATTTGACCGACCCGTCATGTAACAGAAGTGTTTCGTAACAACCTATTTCTTGGAAATTTACAGTAATTCAAAGAAATTCATACAAATTTCTATGAAAGGGGTTGTTACAAGATAGTTCTATTAAATGGCGAATCGGTTAAATGACAATTCTGTTACATGACAGGTCGGATAAATGACGGGTCGGTCAAATGACAATTCGGTTACATGACGGGTCGGTTAAATGACAGGTCGGTTAAATGACAATTCGGTTACATGACGGGTCGGTCAAATGACAATTCGGTTACATGACGGGTCGGTTAAATGACAGGTCGGTTAAATGACAATTCGGTTACATGACGGGTCGGTCAAATGACAATTCGGTTACATGACGGGTCGGTTAAATGACAGGTCGGTTAAATGACAATTCGGTTACATGACGGGTCGGTCAAATGACAATTCTGTTGCATGACAGGTCGGTTATATGCATTTCGGTTAAATGACAGTTCGGTTACTTGTCATATGGGGAATATTCATGCATCTCAAAGCTCTTCATGATTTCGAGATATTTATGAAAATGTGATGTTTACACACACATACACACACACATACGGAATGACATTTTTTAAAAATGTCATTTTTGAACTCCTGAGGTCAAATAACATAAAGATATGTCAAAAAATCGAATTCGAAAAATTTCGGTATTATTACAATACTTCCTCTATGAGGAAGTAATACAAAAAATGTAAAAACAACAAAATACGAAGAAATGGCCAAAAAAAGACAAAGATTCAAGAGCAATAAAAAATATATAAGAACAAAATACAAAAAATATAAGAACAACAAAATACGAAAAAATTAATATAAGAAAACAAGAAATACGAAAAAAGACAAAAACAAAAAAAATACAAAAAAATAATTAATTAGTAATCTATATTAATAATCATTGTATTCCGGTAATCTGAACGTTTGAAGTTGTTGTTTGGTTTTTGTTTCTTAACTTTTTAAATATTTTTCTTTTTAAATATTTTCAATTTTAAAATTAATGTATTAAAAACCATAAAATTGTTGCAAAGAATTTTATCAAAACATTTGATAATAATAGAATTCCTTCGAAGAATTTTATTACATAGGAAAATAATTAAATTCTCGCGAAAAAATTTATTAAAATTTTTAAAAATTCTAATTAAATTCTTTTTTAAAGAATTTCTTGGAATTTTGTATTAAATAATGGAGTTTCTTTAATAATTGTAATTAAAAATTTTGAAAATAATTGAATTTTACGGACAATTTATTTAAGTTTTTAAAATAATCTTGTTTGTTAATACATAATTGAAATTGAACATTTAATTATTGAATTTTATTAAAATTTTAGAAAATAATTGAATTCTTTTGGAAAATTGTATAACGAATTAAGAAAAAAGTGGATTGTTTCGTGCAATTTTTTTTTGAAAATAATTGAATTTTTGCAATGAATTTTACTATTTATAAATATAATTGAATAGTTTCCAAGGATTTATTAAAATTTTAGAAAAAAATTTAATTTTTTTTTGAAAAATATTATTAACATTATTAACATTGAATTTCTGCAATCATTTGTTATTTCTCTAAAATTCTCCAAATTATATTGAACAATTATAACATTTTAAAGAATAATTTCATTTTTCGAGAAATTAGATTAAAATTGTATTGAAAATAATTGAATCTCTGTAAAAAAATTTGATTGAATTGAAAAAACTTTTTGAAAATAATTGAAATTTTGCCAAGAATTTTATTAAAATTTTTAAAAATAATTAAATTTGGAGAAAAATTTTATTATTTATAATGGTAATTGAAATTTTGAAACTATAGACCATAATTGAAATACTGCGAAGAATTTTATTACTTTTGAAAATAATTGAATTAAATTTCTACGCAGAATTTTTATTAAAATTATTTTGAAAAAAAATTGAATTGTTAAAAAGAATTTCATTAAAATTTTTGAAAATAATTTAATTCTATCAAAAAATTAAATTTCTTTAATGAATTTTAATAAAATTTTTAAGAATAATTATATTTTTTCAGAAATTCCTTTAAAATTGTATTAAAAATAATTGAAACTCTGCGATGAGTTTTATTATTTATGAAAATAGTTGAATCTCTTTTAAAAAAAATTGATTATTTATGGTAAATAATTTAATTATTGCGAAGAAATTTATAAAGATTTTGTAAATAATATAGAATTCCTGTGAAATTTTTATTATTTAATTAATTAATTAACAAGAATAATTAATTAGTAAATTAGTTAATAATTGAATTTTTAAAAATTTGAATCTGAAATTATTCAAAATTCCATATTTGAAAATAAAAAATTTTGTAATTTGCATAATAATAATAAATTGAATATCACGTCCCGTGAGTAGCATTTGCTAATTAATAATTAATAAATAAAGATGTAACGATAAATTTGATCTGCTTAAGAATAAAAGTGAAATAAATTGCAATTTATCAATTACCTCGACCTCCCAAAGGGCCTTACTGCTTGTCGCTGCAGTGGCCGATGTCCTACCGGTTGTTCTAAGAAAAACGTGATGCTTCTTCTTGTACTCGTCCATGGTGAGAAATTTCTCCTGTTCAGCGTGAAAAAGACGAACGACATCGCCACCTTTTAATATTTCCTCCTGATTTTCTCTGTGCTCCATGAATAATGTGACTTTCCATGATGTCGATGAATTAACAACATTAACTTCCTTGCAACCGGGATTGTCGCTCAATTCATAATTAGCAGCAACATGTAAACCCTGACGACCGGCGTTCACAGGTTCCATAATTACCTTATCACCCACCACAACACTATCGCCATCGCTTCGCAGTTTATAAAATGGCATTATATAGAGCCATGAACCCTCGTTTCCATTTGCATCCAAATAAACGCGCATTGCATTTTTCTCTAATAGCGCTGGCAATCGTTTATTCACTGTCAGAAATTTATTCGATTTCAGATGCAGGAGCTGAAACAAAAAAGTTTTTTCTTTTCCTTCTTTTTTCCCTTCGAGTTAATGCTAAATAAAAAACTTGAATAATAATTTAATCAATTAAATATATAAATAATAAATAATTATTAAAAACAATCTTATGGATCAAATAAAAAAATGAATGAAAAATAAAGTAAATAAAATAAGTAAAATGGGAAAAATTAAATTGAAATAAAAAAATACGATAACTAAATTTGTTTCAAGGATTTTCTTACTTGGACGACGTTTCCATACGAGACAACAGTGCCCAAAAGTTTCTTGTTTTCACTTTCGTTCTGCTTTTTCTCTATTTCGGCCGCATGCTAAAATAGAAAAATAAAAATTAGCACAAACTTTCTTTCTTGTACAGGGTTGCCACAAATATTTAATTTTATTTTTCCCTGACTTTTCCCTGATTTCCAGACAAAATTTTCACTTTTTCCCTGACCATAAAGAATATTCTGATTCACTCTAAAAATTATTAGATACTCAAAAAAACATTCTATTACATTTACTTACGAATTTCTTAAATCGTAAAATTATTCGCAAACATCAATAACTAAATTTTTAAAAAAGTATTTAATTATTATTTTTCCATAGGAATTAAAATTCTTCAAAACATTCAAATTCAAACATTTTTAAAATTAAACCACTTATAAGAATATCTTCATGTTTTATAAAAATTTTAATTTCCATAAAATTTTTCAAAAAAAAATTAAATTATTTACAAAAATTATAATAAAATTCGTTGCAAGAATTCAATTATTTTCATAAATAATAAAATTCTTCACATGGTTTCAATTGTTTTTAATATAATTCTAAATAAATTTCTCGAAAAATAAAATTATCTTCAAAAATTTTTTGCAAGAATTAAATTAGGTTCATTTCACAAATAATGAAATTCTTCGCTGAAATTCAAAAATTTTCAAAATTTAAATTTTTAATACAAGTTTTTAAAAGAATATAATTATTTAAATCAAATGTGATAAAATTCGTTGCATAAATTCAATTATTTTTACAAGTAATACAATTTTTCACATGAATTCAATTATTTAAAAAAAATTGATAAAATTCGTTGTAAGAATTCCATTATTTTCTTAAATTATAACATTTTTCTGAGGATTTCGATTATTTATAATACAATTTAAAGTAAATTCCTAGAAAAATGGAATTATTCTCTTAAATTTTTTGTAAGAATTTAATTACATTTCACGAATATAATGAAATTCTTCGTTGAAATTCAAATATTTTCACAATCTACTTTTTTAATAAAAGTTCTCAAAAGAATTCAATTATTTAAAAAAATGTAATAAAATTCGATGCAGGAATTCAATTATTTTCATAAATAATAATTCTTTACAATATTTCAATTATTTAAAAAAAAAGTTGAAAAAATTCACTGCAAGAATTCAATTACTTTCATAAATTAATAAAATTCTTCACAGGATTTCAATTATTTTTAATACAATTTTAAGTAAATTCTTCGAAAAATGTAACTATTTTCAAAAATTTTGTTAAAATTCTTCGAAAGAATTCAATTATGTATTTTTAAAAATTCATGCTATAATGCTTTTAATATTCAATTATTATCTAAAATTTTAACTAATATTCATTTTAAAATCAATTTTTATTGGAAAATTCTACAAGAATTCAATTATTTAAATACAAAAATAAATAATTTATTGAATAAATGAATGTTTTTCGAAACTAAATTATCATAAAGAATTTTATCAACAAACTTGAATTTTTTTGAGAAATTTCAATAAAATTTTCAAGAATAATTAAATTTTTCGAGGAATTCAATTAGAATTGTATTAAAAATTAATTGAAATTCTATGATGAATTTTATTATTTATGAAAATAATTGAATTATTGCAAAGTTTTCTTAGAATTTTATCCAAATTTTTTTTTTAAATAATTGAATTCTTTTGAAAAATTTTATTAAAACTGTAGATATTGGAAATCATTGAATTGAGAAAAATTTTTTGAAAATAATTGAAATTTTGCAAAGAATTTTATTACAATTTTTGAAAAAAAATTGAAATTTGGAGAAGAATTTTATTATTTTTAAAGATAATTGAATTTTGACGAGAATTTTTTTTAATTTTTGAACATAATTGAATTTTTGCGAAGAATTTTATTACTTTTGAAAATAATTGAATTTCTGCAATCATTTGTAACTTCTCCAAAATTCAATTTTTTCCAGTTACTTAAATAAAAATCCCTGACTTTTCCCTGACTTCCCTGACAAATTTTACTTTCCCTGACTTTTCCCTGAATTCCCTGATTTCCCTGACCTGTGGCAACCATGATTGTAACAATAATAATTGAAAAATAAATCAATACTTATTTTCGATTAAAATAAAAATCAATATCTAGGCTTATTTTCGATTAAAATAAAAACAATTATTTTCGATTAAAATAAAAATCAATTATCATTTTCGATTAAAGGAAAAATCAATTATTATTTTCGATTAAAATAAAATTATGTTTATATACATAACATATAAATTATCATTTACCATTAAAATAAAATTTTACATTTAAATTATTCGAAAACTCACGTGAAGTCTCTTGAGTAAAACAGCATCTGTACTTGAACTTGCACTTTGTTTTGCAGCTTTCCAAAATTGTTTTTGAGCCGAATACCGATTCATAGGACATATTTTGAAGAGACAATCTAAAAAAAGGAGAATAGAAAAAATTAAATAATTTTCCGTAAACTTTCGTTTAAAAAAAAAAAAAAATTCTGCAAATTGAAATTATATATGAATATATATAATTCCAATTCGAAGATATTTTTTATATTCTGTAAATTTCCAAATTCTTCAAATCCATTTTATTTTTATTTTCCTACCTCGAAATTTTTTTGGAGGATTTGATAAATCTCCAGCTTCCGGACATACGACACATCTGTCATCTACTAATCTGTAAACAAAAGTTATAAATTATTTTCTTTTTATAACAAAAATTTCTGCAATTCCATTTTTATCAAATCCGAAAAAATTAAATTCTAAAATTTAATGTTGAAATTAAATTATGAAAACTTTAATGAAACATTAAATTCTGAAAAATTTCATGTTAAATAAAACTCGACAAAAATTAATAGAAATATATTAAATTCTGTAAAATTTATTGCAAAATTAATTTTTTGAACTTTTAAACTGAATTTAAAGTTTAAAAAATCGAATGTAATAAAACTTCGACAAAAATTAATATCGAATTAAATTCTGGTAAATTTGATCTAAAATTAAATTCTGAAAAATCAAGTGTAAAGTTAAATTCGACAAAAATTAATATAGAATTAAATTCTGACAAATGTAATGTAAAATTAGGGTGTTCACAAGTTTCATTCTAAAATGTAATTATTTTTTGTATTTACTTGAATTATCGGAAATATGTAATTGAAAGTACGGAAAATACTGAATTTTAAAAAATTAAAAGCTAATTTTCATTAACTTTCATTTTTAAATTTACGTTCAAAGATTTTTCATTAAAATTTTTGATAATTCAATTATTTTGAAAATTTGCAATTAAAATTTTTCAAAAGTTGATTTTCAAAAATTCTAACAAAATACTAGAAAAAAATTCATTATTTTCAATATTAAATTTTACAAAATTTCATTTATTCAAAATCTTTTCAAATGTATATTTCGAAAATTTAAATAGAAAAATGATTCAAAAATAATTTTTGAACGATTTGTTTATAGTTATTGTTCGCACTGAAAAAATCGAAATGAGTTACATTTAATACTAAAAAATATATTTTGTAGCAAAATATTTGGAAAAAGAGTTGAGAAAGTTGCAATTTTTGAAAATAAATCGGAAAAAAAAACAATTTTATAAATTTCCCAGACGAAAAATTTTTTTCCTGACATTTCCCTGACTTTACTAACATTTGGCCACCCTGAAAATTGAATCTAAAATTAAATTCTGAAAAATCTAATTTAAAATTAAATTCGGCAAAAATTAATATAAAATTAAATTCTGCAAAGTTTAATATAACGTGAAATTGAATTCTGGAAAATTGAAGCTAAAATTAAATTTTGCGAAATTGAATCTAAAATTAAATTCGTCAAAAATTAATATAAAATTAAATTCTGGAAAATTGAATCTAAAATTAAACTCTGCAAAATTGAAATTCGAAAAATTGAGAATCAAATTAAGATAAATAGAAATTTGTCTTAAAATACCAGAGGGAATGGAAAAAAATTTCCAATTTAATTTAAATTCAAAAATATGCAAATACCGAAAAAAGTAAAAAAAAAAACATTTGGATTTATTCCTAAATGTCAGAGACGGCACATCTAAATCATTCCTTCAGATGCAGTTCTGGTCCATGGGATGAAAAGTGGGTTGGGAATGAGGGGGTGGAACGAACGCACGGATCGATATTTGAGGTAGGTCGCACATCTTGGCTGCAATGATAAACCGAAATAACACCCATTCGAAACGAAATCTACATTTGAATGCCACAGCCAAACAATAAAATTCCAAATATTCTCTTTCCCCTCACAATCCAATTTCAAATTTACAATAAATAAATAAATAAAAAAGAAAAATGTGAAAACAAAGCAAAAGAGAGAATGAAAAAAAGAGAAAATTATTCGGGCAATATTACGAGCGGAAAGAAGAATTAGCCCAAGGAAAGAGACACGGTGTAATTAAAAAAAGAAAAAAACAAGATCGGAAAGAGAGCTTTAGAAGCTTGAAAGGTAAAAAAGCCGATATTGTTATTTCTAGCCGCATCGTTTCACTGGAGCAGTAAGTGATCGTGGCTAAAGAGAGGAACATCATCACACTCATAAGGCACCGGAAGTAGGGCGGAAGAAAGCAATTCAAGCGTGGTCTTCTGCAAATATGAAAAAACTAGATTACTTTTCTTATATATGCCAGTCAACATTTTAATTATTCACATACTTATTAACCTTTCGACCCGTTAGAAAGCGAAATTTCGTCAACTTGACAAAAAAAATATTCGAGAGAAAAAATCTTCACTGTAAATTTTTTTAAAAAATTAAATTATTATAAGCAAAATAAATATTTAATTTATTAATTATATTATTAATATAATTATTGTATTCTTATTAATATTTACATAATCTACTTATTATTAATATTAAATCTGCTAATTATCAATATTAATTTGCTAATTGAGGCTCCAGAGCTTAAAAGGGAACTTTCAGCATTGATTTTAAATGGTAAAAGTGCCCTTTTAAGATCAGGAGCCTCAATTACAGGATTCACACTCAAAAATTAATTTTAAAAAAGTATCAAAAAGTAGATTTAATACTAAAAAAAGTAGTAAAAAAAGTAGCTGTCGAAAATTAATTTTAAGGAAAAAAAATGGTTTTAGTCGATTCACAAAAATTTGATTCAATATTTTCCTGGCTGTTTCCTGATTTACTTTATTCAACTGAAATTCGTTTTTAAAGCAATTCTTATTAGAAAGTTCAACTGAAATTCAACTATTTAAATACAAAAATAATTAATATATATTGAATAATTGAATGTTTCTCAAAATTTAATTCTTATGAAGGAATTCTCAATTTTTGTAAAAAATAATTCAGTTTTTGAAAAGAATTATATTATTTATGAAAATAATTGAATTTTTGCAAAGAATTTTATTTAAATTTTTTAAATAATTGAATTCTCGTGAAAAATTTTATTATTCATGAAAATAATTGAATAATTGTGAAGAATTAAAGAAAGAATTTGTCAATTTTGTAAAAAAAAGAATTTCTGAGAGAATTTTATTATTTATGAAAATAATTGAATTTTTGCGAAGAATTTAATTTAATTTTTTTTTAAATAATTAAATTCTCGTGAAAAAATTTATTATTTATTGAAATAATTGAATTTTTGTAAAGAGTTTCATTTAATTCTTTTTAAATAATTAAATTCTCGTGAAAAATTTTATTGCTAAGGAAAATAATTGAATAATTGTGAAAAATTAAAGAAAGAATTTATGAATTCTAGTAAAAAATTAATTGAATATCTGAGAAGAATTTTATTATTTATGAAAATAATTGAATTTTTGCAAAGAATTTTATTTAATTTTTTTTTTTAAATAACTGAATTCTCGTGAAAAAATGTATTATTTGGGAAAAAATTGAATAATTGTGAAGAATTAAAGAAAGAATTTATGAATTTTTGTAAAAACTAATTGAATATATGAGAAGGATTTCATTATTTATGAAAATAATTGAATTTTTGCGAAGAATTTTATTTAATTTTTTATTTTAAATAACTGAATTCTCGTGAAAAAATGTATTATTTGGGAAAAAATTGAATAATTGTGAAGAATTAAAGAAAGAATTTATGAATTTTTGTAAAAACTAATTGAATATATGAGAAGGATTTCATTATTTATGAAAATAATTGAATTTTTGCGAAGAATTTTATTTAATTTTTTTTTTTTAAATAATTGAATTCTCGTAAAAAATTTTATTATTTGGGATAATAATTGAATAATTGAATAATTGTGAAGAATTAAAGAAAGAATTTGTCAATTTTGTAAAAAAAAAAGAATTTCTGAGAGAATTTTATTATTTATGAAAATAGTTGAATTTTTTCGAAGAATTTAATTTAATTTTTTTTTAAATAATTGAATTCTCGTTAAAAAATTTATTATTTATTAAAATAATTGAATTTTTGTGAAGAGTTTCATTTAATTCTTTTTTTAAATAATTAAATTCTCGTAAAAAATTTTATTGCTTAGGAAAATAATTGAATAATTGTAAAAAATTAAAGAAAGAATTTATGAATTTTTGTAAAAAATTAATTGAATATCTGAAAAGAATTTTATTATTTATGAAAATAATTGAATTTTTGCGAAGAATTTTATTTAATTTTTTTTTAAATAATTGATTTCTCGTGAAAAATTTTATTAGGTATTTGGAAAAAAAATTGAATAATTGTGAAGAATTAAAGAAAGAATTTATGAATTTTCGTAAATAATAATTGAATATCTGAGAAGAATTTTATTATATTTATGAAAATAATTGAATTTTCGCAAAGAATTTTATTTAATTCTTTTTAAATAATTAAATTCTCGTGAAAATTTTTATTGCTTGGGAAAATAATTGAATTCTTGCAGCAGAATTTTATTAAAATCTTTATAAATAATTGAATTTTCGTGAAAAATGTTATTGCTTGCGTAAAAATAATTAAATTCTTGAGGTAGAATTTTATAAAAAGTTTTTAAATTGATTTTTTTCGAAAAATTTTATGAAATATTTTTAATAATTTTGATTACTTATAAAAAAATTGAATGTTTGAGAAGAATTTTATCTAAAATTTTGTGTGGAATTTTACTAAAATTGTATAGATATTGAAAATTATTGATTTTCGAAAAGTTTTTGAGAATAATTCAATCGTTTTAAAGAATTTATTACAATTTTTAGAATTTTTTTTATTTCAACTATTAGCTAATTTAAAGTGTTATAAATTTTCCTCAAAAATAAAGAAAAAAGTAGCTTTTAGTGTTTAATTGTATACAATTAATTAAATTAATCAATAGTAACTAATAATAATTAATTCATTTGTAATTAATTATAATTAGCAGAATAAATATTGTTAATTGGTAATAATTACTCTGCTAATATTTAAATCATAAATTAATTTCAATTGTACAAATAATTAAATATTAAATAAATTCTTTTTATCAGTGGAATATTTTATTAATTCTACTAAAAACGATTTAATTCCGCAAATTGAAGTAAAAATTAAAATTTTCTTAATTTTCAATTCAAGGACTAATAATTAATTTTTATTTTTCAAAATCACAAATAAAAATAAATGAAAATAATAATTATTAATTAATGAACTAATTAGAGTGAAAACTAATAATAAAAATGTGAATTAACAGTTATAAAAAATTGAATGAAAAAAATATTTATAATAAAATCATGTGTGAAGAAAAAGAT